ATAATTAGTAAGAATCCAAAGTGGCTCATGAGTTGAGACTCTTGCAAGCTCTCTTGGGCCCTCTATCTCAGCGACAAATTAAATAAACATTAAGCATGTTATGCCTGCTCTGCTGAGTTAATTCCTTTTTTTACATCAAGCTCTCATTTTGTCTTTATTTAGGGTTCCATTGGTTTGCCTGGGATGCTTGGACAGAAGGTAAGGATGATTCAACAATGAGGACAGTGAAGGATCTGATTTAAACTGACTATTCCCCAAATCCTTGCCCAGGGTGAGCAGGGACCAAAGGGAGAGCCGGGAGTCGCGGGAAAAAGAGGCCCTACTGGACGGCCTGGGAAGAGAGGCAAACAGGTGAGGAAAGACGAGGAAGCATAGCGCACATCCTGACAATATTCCTTAACCCTGGTGTGGTGCGCTGACACTCTGCTCTTTCTCAGTCTGTGACCTGAGGGCTACGTGCTCTCGCCGACTATTTCAGTCACTCAACTTTTACTTCCAGCTCTAAGTATAGACTTTCATAAGGGCTGTGGGGACTTTGCCATCTTAGATCTTCTTAGCCTACACACTTAAAGTATATATGCACACACACACACACACACACACACACATCCATGCATATATGTTTACCCCATAGACTAGATTAGCACAGCTATGCACAAGTGGCGGTGACATGTAGGTCACCTTCAGTGTGTGTGTGTGTGTGTGTGTCTGTGTGTGTGTATTTTCTAATATTGGGATGTTGCCTGGTTTGCACAGGGCATGAAGGGCCATGGTGGAACCCCAGGAGCCATGGGCCCCCAAGGACCCCCTGGTCCAAACGGCCATCCAGGGCCACCTGGACCACCTGCGTCAGGTACAGTAACTTACACACACAATCAGCCTCCAATAGTATAGTTTAGGCATGTTTGTGTTAAACCCTTAACTTTGTCATACATTTTTTTGCAGGTCTCTATCTAGTAGGTGAAAAGGGAGAGAAGGGTCCTCCAGGTCCACCAGGTCGCTGTGACTGTGACTCCACTCTTGGTGTGAATAATGCTCCTTTTGGAAGCTACACTCAACGGGGCGGCCTCAGCAAAGTCCCTGCAGTAAGACCCAACTCAACGGCTAGCTTTCAATATTATGATCCAAACTAAATCCTTGTTTATACTGAATCAGTTATACCAGAGGTGTGACCAAGTCATTGTTTTGCAAGTCACAAGTAGTCTCAATTCTTTGCACTCAAGTTCCGAGTCAAGATTTACACGTCCCAAGTCAAGTGCCAAGTCCTACACGTTGATTTTCGACTCCCAAACATGCCTTGTGCTCTTCACCAAATGTAATGCCTTTTTAACAACAGAGTAATAACATTAGCTTAGCATTAGCTCGCTATTAGCCTTGACTTACCACTCTTTGTGCAACTTGAAGTTTAGAACGAAGTCGGAAGTTGTTGCGTCCCTGTCTGTAATTTTCAAGCCCCATGTTTTGCATACAGTATTTTGTTTTTTTGTTGACCACCGAATAGTTTTTGCATACGTATAATATTATCTTTGGCATCATTTTTATCATCTGGTGTTCAGTAACGTGACATTAGTTCTTCATAGTTCTTTCCTGCAACTTGATGCTGTCGGATCGATTCAAACAAATGGATCTGTGGAATTAAGTGCTGACTTTCATGTTTGGGCTTTTGGGGGAAAGGTATTAACTATTCTCAAGTCAAATGGCTCAAGTCCAAGTGAAGTCATGAGTCACTGGTGTTAAAGTCCTAGTCAAGTTGCAGGTCTTTTTTTATTTTTGTCAAATTCATGACTCAAGTCTGACTGGAGTCCAAGTCATGTGACTCAGATCCACATCTCTGATTACTACTCATCTGCTTTCACTTTCTCCCGTATGTATCTGTGCAGATATTTGTGGTAAAGAGTGAGGAGGAGATGGACAATCTACGTCTAGACAACGCAATAGCATTCAGGAAGGATCAGAGGATGCTCTACTTCAAAGATAAAGACGGATGGAAGCCCATACAGGTAACAACTATTAGAGTATATAGCATACGTATTTCAAACTAGCCACATTGAGCACATACATGTAATTGATAATTTCAGGCTCACATGTTTGCATCTGAGCTTAAACTGGGTAGCATTTGAGCATAGAAGTTTATTTTTGACCTCAGAAACAGTAGTTTGATTACAAATATTAAAAGATAGCAATTCAAGGTCCACTAACTAGCTCAGTGGCTTTACCACAGTCTTCCTCAGTGGATCGAGTTTGCACTTTTGTCACAAAGATGGCTTGGTTTGTGTCGAAACATCTGGACACAGACCCTTGTAAAGCCAACGTCATCAAAAATATGTGTGAGCATGTTGGTAGCGGAAGTAGCATTTTGCCCCAGCCATCCAGATGAGTTAGCAAGCTTTAAACACTGAATTGAAACTGTTACCAGTTTGTCGCATGTGAGGTTGTTAGAATCAATATTTCAACCCAGTTTTAGCCTAAATGTCTTGCTACCAAAGCCAAGATTTCTCCTTGCCTGAAATGTTAAGTTAGCATTTTTTAATTTTGTTTCTACAACCTGTCCAGCCCTTCCAGCCGTTCCAATCCACAGAGAAAGTCCCAGACAGAGTTGGTGCGTGTGGGGATGGAAAGGTGCAAGCCCAGCACGGAGAGGAGTGTGATGATGGAAACCAGATTGTCACCGATGCTTGTCTCAGTGAGTTACGTGCATCTTTTGCTCAGCTGAACACATGGACACTCTCAGTAATGTAGAAGGAGAGAAAAAACACAACAGAGTGATGATCTACAGTGATTGTAATACCGCTCCTTTTATGTAATGTAATACAGTGTAACAAGAATTAAGATTTAAAAAAAGCATTATTTTAGTACAAAAAAATGCAACTATTCCTCAAATATGAAGGTTAGGCACAAACACACCCATGCTGTCGAACACCCACCTGCTCATGAGATGCCCTGCAGAGCTACAGTGCACCGCAGAGTCTGAATCCACATGACAGAGGATAAAAGCAGTAAGCACTGTGAAACCTTTCCTTGATCTTTCATTAATCTCACCCTCTCTTTTCCTGCCATCCTCTCACTTCTCTCTTCTCCTCTGTTCAATTAAATTAGCAGAAATGCTGTATTGGCATCACTGAAACACACACGGGTGCCAAAGCAATCAGTAACGTTTTCTCTCTCTCCCTCCCCTTTCCCTCCTCTCTCCTAACTCTGCCACTGCACTCGCCCCATCTCTTTTCCTGTCGTCACTTCAGACTGTAAGTGGGCCTACTGTGGAGATGGCTACCGACATGAAGGCATTGAGGAGTGTGATGGAAAGGACTTTGGTTATCAGACCTGCAAATCCTATCTTCCTGGGTATGTTCACTGACAGCGTTCAGTGTGTATACACAAACACATCCATTTATTTGGGTACACCTTGCTACTATAAATCCTCTATGCCAAGTCAGCACCATGCAGTTCCTTTTTAATCAGCGGCACATTTATATTGCACCCATCTAAGGATTGGAAAGGTCACTTTAAAAGGAACTACTGTACTTTTACTTTGGGGTCTCTGAAAGCATTCACTGATGATGGTGCATTATCCTGGCGCCAGTTACTGTACAGTGTTTTAGATGCTTAAATGGCCGACTCTGCACAACTTATCACCTTTAATTTCAGTTTTTGTTCAAATTTAACAAACAGGATTATCTTTATACCTTTAGAATTGAGTCAGGCTAGCTGCTTAATCCATTTGAAGTTTCATGCTTAACTAAGCTAATCTACTCCTGGCTCTACCTCCATACCTAATGTACCAACATGAGCAAGGTGTACATCTTCTCATCTCACTCTCTAAAGCATAAATGTTGAAGTATTCCTTTGATAATGAGCAAAACGGTGGAATTTTGGAGGTGAACTGCATAACCTGGGAAAGAACTGAGTGTAAATGCAAATATACACTTGGCACTATCGGCTGCACTTGTTAAAAATCATTTTCCGTGTCTTCTTCAGGTCCTTTGGGCAGCTCAGATGCACCGACTCCTGCCTCATTGATTCCACTGGTTGCAAGTATTTCACCTGAGCTGGGGAATAAAAAAAGGGCCAGACTGCCACTTTGCAGTTCCCTCTGTCTGCTCATGGGGATTATACTTCAGATTTCTACTGAAGTCTCACCCTTAAAAAAATAACTGATGGACTGAGAGAGAGAGTACTGAAGGGAAGCTCTTGTGCCTGCTCAGAACCATGAACCATCATGGCGGCAAGCTTTGAATGGACCGTCTCCCTCGGAGGTTTAATTCTTTTAACGGCCTCAGGGAGCAGCTTCCTGTTACTGTCACTCCATCGGCTGCAGCACTGTTATGGACACCGGTGATGGCGGAGAACATTCTCATGAATTAATGATTGTATCATTTAAAATAGTTTCAATGTGTATGACTTGCTGACTGTTGATGCAAAAATAAGCTGTATTCTGAACTTCTTTTGTAATAAGAGAGAGAAAAAAGAGCCTTTTCCAAAAGAGGAAATTATATTATTAATACTATATATACTGTAGTATACAAATCAGGGGTGTGTAAATGTGTTTATTCATGTGCAATGTATTATGAAACATGTATTTAAGAAGTGCAATGCTGTTATATTGCATGTAAATGTGTACCAGTGCCCTGCAGACTGCTATAACCAGTGCTGTTAATGTACTAGCCAAAGTATGCCCCCTTTAAAGTGAATGTTAAGATCCCTGACAGGAGGAAGAAGAATGTCACACTGCAACAGCAGCAAGAAAATACCTGTGATTATTGCAGTAGCATGAAGAAACCCATGACTCCAAAATGTTTTCAGTGAAAAGTGATTAGTGGATAATCTGCCTGCATGATTGTTATATTCATAAAACACTGTACAACAATAAAGATTAGGCCAACACTTAAAGGAGCCCTGAAGAGGTGGAGTGTCTGTGGGCGGGGTTTTGTGTGGGAAAGCAACCAATCAGAAAAAGACTTCCTGCAACAACATGTATGATGAAACGTCACTGCCACGTAGAGGACCAGCTGCATGCACAACTGCTTGTTCTTCAAACATTTTAGTTCATCTCTTGTATCCTGTTGATTCTTCGGAGGGTCTGAGTGTTGCAGCATGCTGCTGACCGTGCTGAGCTGGCTCTGCTCCTCCCTGCTGGTGTCTGTCAGCGGGGGGAAGCTGCCTGAAGCTGAGGTGAACATAGAAGTTATGCACAGACCTTTTCTGTGTCACCGAAAATCAAAGTATGGAGACATCCTGCTCGTGCACCATGAGGGATACTTTGAGAATGGGACCATGTTTCACAACAGGTATGTTTCATGATGTACACGACGGTCTTACTGTCCCATAATACTGCTGCTCTTAATGTGAGTTTGAAGCTAAGTAGCTGCTGTGAGGCTGAGAAGTCCTCTAACTGCGTTTAGTGGAGGACATTTGCTGCATCTACTCATTAAGTTTGATATATAGCATAAACTTCCATTCCACATTCCAGGTGCACGCGAGTTTAATCTTCTTGGTGACGCCTCAGCCTATCAGGATCACGTGATAAAACATTTTAAAGGCTCAGTTCAACCAGATTACAAGAATACATATTTTATTTCTGACCTCTAGTGGTTTGGTTTGTCCTAAAGTTTGGAGACATTCAACCCATAACAATGGCGGTGAAGAGAATTATCTGTATCCTTGTTAAAGGAATATTTCACCCCCCAAATGACCATTTGTATGTCAATGACTCACCCCATGTTACGTTGAATTCATGAGGCAAACTTTGTTATTCATGCATGTCTCCATGTTGAACAAAGAATCCAAAAACTGAGAAAATTCTTGATGAATTGAAGTCCTCGGTAGCCACGTTTAACATCAGTAAAACTATATCAAAACATCAGTTTACAACCTCTCACACAACTCATGCAGTCTAATCTTGTATGCTCATTACTTCCCAAACTGACAGCCCTCTCCGAAGGGGAACTGAATGCAAATCAAACTTTTTCCTTGCTCTCTTCAAAACCAGGCTTCATTGACAAAAACAGTAATTTTACCTTGCTGAACACAGGAGCTGCTGGTCTACAACTGCCTCGATCAGTTAGTTTGTTCGTGTTATAGTGTGACTTTGGTGTTTTAAAGGGTCAGTTCGGATTTACCAAAGTCACTCAATATCACAGACAAACTATCAATTGATGTGCTCCAGCAAGATAAATTAGGCCTGCTGTTTTTTTCAAGCATACGACTGGATAAATGAGACTAGATCATACTGCAGGAGTTGAGTTTGTAAACAGATGGGTCGGTTATGACTTCAGTTCATCAAGAATTTTCTCTCCGTTTTCTGAAAGTGCCAATGAAAGCTGTTGACAGTCATGTTTACTGGGAATTACCGTAGTGGACACTGTTGGCTTTCATATTTCCCCTTTCAATTCTATACAGAGTAACTTAACCCTTAGTATCTTGTCTTTGCTGACTTCCAGTGGTCGTATCCTTACTTGCTGCAGTGATGCATAGATACAGACTCCAGCACACCTCAACGTCACTGTTGGGTCAGAGGTCAAGCAGGCTACAGTAGCTCAGAATGGACAAACCAAACAATGACTCAAGAGAAGGCCTTTTGTGTTTTTACGTTGAAGTGAAGGCCGCCATAGGTTCTTGGGTTTGGAAAGGTAGGGTTTACCAGTTGGTTGCAATCTGCAGTGTCACCACTAGATGCCACTAAATCCAACACACTGGTTCTTCAAAGCACCATCAATAAAATACAAGCAGCAGATGTCCAAAATACTGTATGTCTCAAAACTTTGACATATAGAACTGATTGGCTGGAAAGACGGAAGTGGTAAGTGAGGAAATATGAGTTGTTGTGATTTGAGTGAGATAATATGTAATTTTTGAGATTTAACATCAGCAACGTGAGAAAATTATCAGTAATAATTCTTGATATTTCTCACCTTATTCATTTTTCCTCAGGGTGAAATTAATATCAGAACTCACTGACCTATAATTATAATAATAATAATAACAATAAAAATATAAATGATGATAATACAGTAAAAAATGACACATTTCTGTCAGGAAACAGTCCCATAAAATCACAGGGTGATGTTTTAAGCCTGAACAACATTTAACTTTAAACATTTTCTAGTGCTGCAAAAAAATTTAAAATAATAATTACAAATTATTTGCATTGCGTAGTTTTGAAATTATAGCCAGAGAACACCCAGGAACAAAGGGGTGTTAAGTCTAATTTCCACCAGTACTACCTGTACCCTCTGTAGGGGTCACACCTCCTCACAGTCTGTCCTTTTTCAGCCCTTTAACATTCCACTCTGTGTCTGTGTCTGTCCACCAGTCGAGCCGAAGGTGACAGGCAGCCAATGTGGTTCACACTGGGCATCAAAGAAGTAATCAAAGGCTGGGATAAAGGCCTGCAGGACATGTGCTCTGGAGAGAAGAGGAGACTTGTCGTACCTCCTGCTCTGGCCTATGGGAAGGAAGGAAGCGGTAATGTGGCTTTGTCTGTATGCATGCAAGTTTCATTGCATGATGCTATGTATTTATAAAGAGAATGTGTATTGTCCTATATGCATGTGTGTATATTATATTTGTCTGTCTTGTTTCGAATGGCTCTCTAGGACTCCTGTACTGAATGAAGGTTTCATTCAGCAGTATTAGTCCACTTTTTCTGGAGCATGTGAACAATACTATGCTTTGTCCTGGTAAGCACACACCACCCTAACTAATAATATCTATCTCTTCTGTGCATCACTAACCTTTGCCATGAAAACAACAACCTGAACTACTCGATCTGACTAATAATACAACCTGAGTTTGCCTCTCATTAACACTTTCAGCATGTTTTCAAACTTGTTTACTCACAATTTAACTGACACTGTCTTATTGCATTCACGCACAAAGGGTGACATATCGCAGCACTAACCAAGCATGCTTACAGAAACCTCAGGTAATGATAGCCAGTCTCAGTTTTAGCTGACCTCTTGCCCTGTGCTGTTGCCTGATCAGGTAAGATCCCACCTGAAAGCACACTGACCTTCGTCATCGAGGTGCTTGAGATCAGAAATGGACCGAGGTCACATGAATCCTTCCAGGAGATGGATCTCAACGATGACTGGAGGCTCTCCAGGCAGGAGGTACGCACAGGGATCTCAAACACTTGACTTGAAGTAGATGAATTAGCTACCACCATCTCTGATACACCAATCAACAACCTTTTTGATGTATGACCTTGTAGAGCGAACCAGTGGCAATGGTTCACTTCTTAGATTGTGTTATGTCAACAGTTTTTAGAGTCTAACAGAGGTAAAGGTCTCTTATTTCCTTTCTCTTTTCTAACTGGTTGATCACCTCATGACCCCTCAGATTTACCACTATTATAAATAAGTCAGTCACAGTGCGTGTGGCCCTTCACCAACTAGAAAGAAAGGTTAAACAAATCAAATTTGCTGTTTTTATTTTCCCATTTTTTTGAAACTGGTCCAGTATTGAGCAGGACCACTGTAGATGACAATGGAGGAGCAGGCGACAGTGTAACCATTGGGGCATGTTTGCACTGTCCGCATACGTGCAGCAAAGGTGTGAAGTGTCTGAAAACATCTTGGAAAGGATCCTTACAGATATAGACATTTTTGTTGAAGAGTAAGGGCCCTTAAAATAACCAGAAACAGCCCTGAACTCCCTATCACCAGTCCCACCAGACTCAATTAACAAAAAAACAGTAATCATATGATCATTCAAAGTCAACAGAAACAAAATAAAACTCATAAAAACCATCTTAGTTTGTCTTTCCATTGTTCCAACAATCACCAACTCTGGACTGGTTGAAATAAATCCTTAATTAACCCAGTATGATGTGAAATATACTGGCTTTATACACACTTAAATTAAGGTTTATTTAAATGGAGTCTGGTGGGTTTGGTGATGGAGATTTCAGTGCTGTTTCTGGTTAAACCAAAATGATCTTATTCTTAAAGGTCAGAAATAAGATAAAGAAGCATAAGTAAAATTAAAAAGAAAATACAAGTACTGTGCAGGTGTATTGTACAGTACATACTAAGTATGTTTATATATTATATAAACATCATTTATACATGAATTTGGACCAAACTGTCGTTGAAAAGAGTCGTACTGCCAATTTGATAATTGCATATCTTTTTTATCTAGTTTACCAAATGCAACGACAGCAGTATCTGATTTTAGATTTTATTAATTCTGTATTGTAACGATATCAGTCAGATGTGTTTATATGTCTCCACACAGTACACAAGAGCTTTAGTTTTTTCCTCTCATTAATCATCCTGCTCTTATTTGATCTACCAGGTGAAGGAGTATCTGAGGAAAGAGTTTGAGCGTCATGGCTACCCACCCAACGACACTCTACATGAGAACATGGTGGAGAACATCTTTGCCAAAGAGGATAAGAACAAAGATGGCTTCATATCTTCACGAGAGTTTACTTACAAACACGATGAACTTTAAATTCTCTCCCATTCCCACAAACCACTCGCTCATCCAGTGTTCATTGATTTGTATTGGAAATACTTTGGTGCAGAGTTTTATTTTCGGCATACAAGTATTTCACTTTTATAGAAGCATTGTGTTTGTCTGGTGTGTGACATGCTAACTCCTCCTGTGTGTGAAGCTGTGCAGTGATCTTTGAGCCCATTCCACTCTGTCTTGCATACTAGCTGCATATATTTTTTTAGAATTCAATTGTTATGCAGTTATCACCAAATGTGTCACAACATATCAGAGGTAATAGACACGGAGCTAACTGTGTGCATTTAGATGTCCAGTGTGTGCGATGTAGGGGGATTTAGTGGAATATATCGGTGAGTTTTGTAGACTGCACCTGAAGGAGTAGAAGTGAACCTTTGCCTTGTTAGAAATCCTTCACCGTTTGTCATCCAGGAGGTTTTTAGGAGCGGAGTTACCCTCAGAAGTCTTGTCCTCTCAGAAACAAACGGAATAAAACAGTTTCCTATTACACATCAGTGTTTTTTCTACCAAGTTAAGAATGTGGCAGATGGCCCACTTGCCCCTTTTTGATTCAGACATTCAGGAGGTCTTTACCATGAGCCAGATTAGAGGTCTCTTCCTCTCCAGAATCGGTGATATAAACCGGTAAAAACACTAAAGAAGGCAGTGTTTTTCCAATGCTGCTTGTTGCGTAGGGGCTGCTAACTACGAAGGCCAACCCAAAATTGCATAACCATGAATAGCCCTATCTAGAGCCAGTGTTTGGTTTGTCCATTCTGGGCAACTGTAGAAACATGGAGGTGCAACATGGCAATCTCCGTGGACAAGGACCCGCTCCCTATGTAGGTATAAACGGCTCATTCTTTTCAGGTGATTATACAGCAATGAAAACATACTTATTATATTCCATTCCTGCTAATATATCCCCCAAATCCTACACACTAGATGTTTGTAATGTCACAAAAATGTTAACTTATTTTTCATTTTCTATAAAGCAGTTAAATGGGTATTTTTACAGGACATCAGTGATCATCAGTGTTTCATGGCAGACATGTTGACTTAACACAGCAGGAAAAGCAGGTGTAACCAAGAACATACCCGCTTCATTTCATTTTCTCTAAGTGCTCCCAGTAAGCCAGTATACACAATACTCAGGACCTGGCACTGGCACACCTAAATGGAACGCAGCCAGCATTGATGTTATTGTAGACGTGTTTGACATGTGAAGACTACTGTGAGAAAAGCACGCACACTGCAATGTCAGAGCTGAAAAGATGTATTGTTCAGCCCTGTTCTGCAACATACAATGTCATTCTGATTTCTAAAGCGCACATTAAAATGTACCCTACTTTTAGCAAATTGCTGGAAGCTGTTTTGAGTTGTTACACACACAAGTCTTCAACCAGAAAATGTTCCCACGGTGCCGACTAGAATCTAGACTGTCCAGTTTCCACAGCGTCGGTGTGCTTTTAATGTAAACATATCAAGACTAAACTCTGTATGCAAATGAGTGTTCTGGTTAAGGCTGATTTTTAATGTTGTATTTTACAACCAGTGTGAGGAATAAAGTCAACTTTTTAGAACAAAATACTGTGGTTTATTTGGTGGTCACACCTTGTAATACTTTACACATTGAACCAGCAGGTGGCACTGTCTTCACAGGTGTTAGTATTGGTTAATACAGTGAGAGAGGAAACACTACACCTCATTCATTCATTATCTATTCATAACAGTGTAACTTAGACACATTCCCATAATTTGTAAAATGTTAGTATGTTCTCTTCTACACTTATATGGATGCATTTTCAACATACAAAAATAATTACATAAACACTGGAGAGCACCACTATATGTACTGTACAAGGATTTATGAACCCCCAAGGTTAGCACATCCTGCAGTAAAGTCTGTTTTCACATTGAGTTGTATGAGGTTTACATAGTCTCCTGCTAACAGTGGCTATATAGGTCGCTGAATTCCCATAAGAAAGAAAAACAGATCTTGAGAGGATTGTCCTGCTTGAACAAACCGTTAAGGGAGAACATTACAAGCACGTAAAGCTACAGTAGGAAAAAAAAACTGTCCCATCTCTGCATCTTTGCTGAAACTGTCACTATACCCTGACAGTAGTACATGAGACAGATACAAAACCAAAACTGAGGTCATTAGGAACACTAGGAGGAGTCAGAGGAACCCTTTTTTTTCTTATAGATAATCTCTCTCATATACTACCGTCAGGATATAGTGCCAGTTTCAGCAAATATGACAAAAAGTTATTATGACAAAAGTTACCTACTGAACTTCTTAGGACCTCAGTCTTGCATAAACTGTCTTTAATAAAAGCTTTACTGTCTTATCTGTGTGTTTAAGAACATTTCTGGGTTAAATGCCGACTTTAAAAGTGCTACTGTATCAAGGAACAGATCATGACATCAGATTAAGATATTCTGTCCTGTATGTAGATCCTGAAATGCTCACAAACTGTGTCACGAGTCATGATAAATATAGCTGCTGGTAGACACTGTCCCTGGAGAGAGAGTGTGTGTGTGTGTGTGTGTGTGTGTGTGTATAGTCTGTATGTAACTTATGAGTATGAGTAGGGAGAGCCCTCCTCCTCACAAACATTCAAAACATTCCACACTGGAAAAGGTCGGAGGTCACATAGTCAGTATAAGGCGGGACCCTGTTTGACACTCACATATACACGCACACACACAAATACACTCAACACAAACAACACACACACACAGAGCCTGCATCCAAACACGTCCATGGCAGTTATGTTATTGTCATGAGGAGGAGGACTGAGTCTGTCTGAGGACTGTCTGATATGTGTGTGTTGGGGGGGGGGCGGTGAAGAACAGGGTGAGGCCTTGACTCATCTGAGGTGTGTCCTAATCCCAGGTGGTTTGGGGTTCACTGTAAGAGGAAGAAAGAGGAGGAAAGCTCAGCAGATGATACTGAAGTGATGGGCATTGTTGAGGAATAAGTCCACTGTGGCGTTACCTCTGTTTTCTTTGCTGGGGTAGATCCGAGGGAAAGGCTTGAATTCTTCCGGAGGGGGGAAGTCCTCTACGGGGTGGAACTGGAACTTGGATTCAAAGTCATCTGCTAAAAGCAGACGTACAGTAAAGATGCAATTAAAGGCTGCCATTTTGTCCCTATTTTCAAATACAAGGTGGTTCAAGTTTTACTTCCAGTCGGCCCTCAGTCAATGTTGGGCAATCGGTGAGCATCTGCCGCCCCAGTTTTTATGGTGTGTCCTGCACAGTTGGCCCTTGGAGCCTTTCTTTGATGTCAGTTTGATGTGCCTGGCCATAAAGAACTAGTGGCGATGAAGGCTGACTGTTGTGTCGCCTGTGTCTTGGTGAAAAGTTGCCCATGAACACACCGCAAAGACTATATCCAACAGCTAACTCAGGTATACGTTAAGCACCTGCCTGAGAGGAAATAATTCTCCATATCAGCAGGAGGCAGTAGTCTGTATTCGTCATTCAAAAAACGAAACCACAAGACCGACAGGATGGATTCAAGATGCTGTTTAGCGGCACATTAACAACACAATCCGATGGGGTAAGTACAAATGACATTTATTGTGCTCTAGTCAACAAAAACTCACACAATTATGAACGGTTTCTGCTCAAGAGCTACATGGCTAGAAAAATAATTTTACCATAAATAACAAGTTTGTTTTGATCTGATAACCTCTCAATGTTTGTCATTTGTTTACTTTCCTCACTTCTGTTTCTGTCCTTATGCACTGAGCTCAACTTCCAATCAGAGTGATTTCTCTCACCGATGAGCTCTGCTGGGTCCCACACCAATTAAATGTGCTGAATTGGCCAAAAATAACAGGTGACAAGGGACGCCTAGTGCCAATAGTGCAGGACGAACTGCAAAAATGAGGGCGACAGATGTTTACCAATAGCCCAACATTTAACCGACAGCCAGCTTGGTGTGTCAGGGCCATAAAAACAGCCCGTCTCTAGTCTCCTTCCCTCTATAGTACTTTCACTTTGATAACCAAATAATCATAGTTAATTACTGTGGTACTATCATAATCAATCAAGAACATGAATAGAATGCCCATAAAATAAAATAACACATAAAAATATATTCCAAAATAATAAAAACTGCTGTGAGAAAATAAAACAATATAGTGAAAATATTTAAACTTGAAAAAAAGGGATATTTGAATAAATTAAATAAATATTATGTAATAAAATGAAATGCAGCACTGCTCTCATTTCAAGTCACTCTGGATAATAAAATCCACTAAAGGCCTCAAATGTATTTTAAAATGTCAGAGATGTAATAATATGACACACTCACCCAGGCTGTGCAGGTGTCCATTCCTGAGACTTGATGGCGGCAGAGGAGGTGGTGGTGGAGGGGGAGGAATGCGGCTGGACAGCTCAGTAGAGGGGGAACGTGCCGGGGGAGCTGGAGGAGGAGCTAGGCGACCCACTCCTGTTGCAATGGGTGACAGAGAGGAGGAGTCAGAGGGGTGTCAGACATTAGCAATAAAATCTACTACATTAAAAACACATCCAAATTCAACTAGTACTTCTATGATAATAACTGAGACAGTAAGATTGTATTCCTATTTTTTCTCTGAGAGAAAAAAACACTGAAAGAAAGAAACTAAAAAGTCACATAACAACCACCCTGTTGGCTTTAATTACCAGCTGCAACAGCTGTCACAGGTTACAACCCCTACTTGTTTGGAAGTTTCAGACAAGTTTCAAACGCACAACTAACAGTTACTACAAATATTTTTACTGGTGTTTTTCCCCCATAAATATGTTGCTGAGTCATATAGTTACATTCTATATGAACAGTTGTGTATTCCTATGTAGGAGAGGTGTTGGGGCTACTGCATGTCTGTGCCCAGGGGTCCATTATCTCATAATACTCCCCTGCTTGTAAATTTCCCAAAAACCTCAGGTTGTTAATTACTGTTTAAAGGCCCTGATACACCAAGCCAATAGTCGGTTGTCAGTCAAAGCTGGGCCATTGATGAGCATCTGCAGCCCTCGTCGGTGCGATGTGTCCCACAAGCGCTAGTTGGCCTTTGTTCTGCGGATTCATTCATTCTGATTGGCAGTTGAGCTCAGCGCACGAGAAGAGAAACAGAGGTGAGGAACGTAAACAAACAGCTAAAGTGAAAAGGGAGTGATGTCAAAACACGCTTGTTATACGAGGTAAGATTGTTTTTCTTCAGCCACTGAGTTCTTTAGCAGAAACATTTTATATTGGTTTGTGTTATTGTTCACTGGCACATGAGAAATATGCTTTGTTCTTTCAACACTGGATCATGCAAAACTGGCTAACTAGCATGAAGACATTCTTCCGGTTTCCCTTTTTGAATGACGATTACAGACGACTGCCATCTGCTGGTATGGAGGGATATGTCCTCTTACACAGGCACAGAACGTATGTGTTTGTTGGCCGTCAGTTTGGGGTGTTCATGTGCAACTTTTAGGCCGAGACACAGCGACAAGAGGCGACGCGGCACGGGGCTCTCGTCGCTGCTAGTTCTCTTAAGAAGGGTTGGGGTGTCTGTGCCTTTAGGATGCCTTCCTCTAACTTGTAAATTAGTTGAAAAAAGAAATCAATTGCCTTGACTGATCGATTCCCCTCATGCTCTTCATCCAATAGAGTATAGAGTCTTGGTTGGCTCCATCTTACCAGTGATGCTTATGGCTGTACATTGTGTCTGAAAATGGGTGAAAATCATCTCCTAAAACCACTGCCTTGTAATAAATTATGACAATAGGGTTTATTTAATCTACCTTATAACAGCTCTCCATTTACTATCAACAGAGAAGTCACTGGTAAGAAAAAAAGAGCTGTTTGGAGAAGCTTGCCTAGAAGGCTTTTTGCCAGAAAGGGATTTCTTAGTTAAGAATTAGGGGGGAAATGATGGTTTGGGTTAAAATAAACAGATGACTTCAAGGTAAACTTCTCCCATGTGCCAAAAAAAGACAGATCCCCATCTTGCTGTCCACCTACCTGCACTTCTGGGTACAGCAGGTGGCCGTCTGGTGGGAGCATTGCAGGGGTACGAGGGAGGCAAAGAGCGCATGGTCGGCGAGGGCACTGCAGCCACCTTGGGTGGTGGAGGAGGTAGGGTGGATGGGCAACTGGGGGTGAAAGAAGCCGGGAGGGGTGGGGGAGGAGGTGGAGGAGGAGGTCCCAGTGGGCTGTCTCGCAGGATGGGGAACCTGGAAGGCTCAGAATGGACTGGGGGTGGAGGATAGAAGCACCCTGAGGAGCGGTCCCCTGGAACAGCAGAGGGAGGTTGGAAAGGTGGAGGAGGAGGTGGAGGAGGAGGAGTAGAAGGCTGGGAGATGGTGGTGTGGTAGGAGTGCTGGATGGGGAGCCAGGTGGGCTTTGTGACCTGAGATGGAGGGGGAGGAGGAGGGCAGGAGGGGAGAGGCGGTGGCTTATTAGCCGGCCGGTCCTGGAAGGCTTGGGGTGGGGGAGGCGGGGGGAGGGCAGAGGGTGGAGCCGGTGGAGGTGGAGGGGGAGGGGGAGAGGAGGTAGGGAAAGGAGGTAAGTGTCTGCTGCTGTGCGATGGGGAGGGAGGAGCAGAGGACGAGGGAGCCAGTTGACGATGGACGGAGCTTCGGAGCTCCAACGTCCTGTGAGGTTCGGAGACGCTGCTCATGTCTGCTGGGGTGGGGGCGTTCCACTGAGGCTTCAGGGAGGCTGAGGAGCTTGACCGTGACACTGAAACACACACACACAAGAGGTGAGGGAAGGCGTCATTTAAACGGTACATACAGTACAGGCCAAAAGTTTGGACACACCTTCTCATTCAATGCGTTTTCTTTATTTTCATGACTATTTACATTGTAGATTCTCACTGAAGGCATCAAAACTATGAATGAACACGTGGACTTATGTACTTAACAAAAAAAGGTAAAATAACTGAAAACATGTTTTATATTCTAGTTTCTTCAAAATAGCCACCCTTTGCTCTGATTACTGCTTTGCACACTCTTGGCATTCTCTCCATGAGCTTCAAGAGGTAGTCACCTGAAATGGTTTCCACTTCACAGGTGTGCCTTATCAGGGTTAATTAGTGGAATTTCTTGCTTTATCAATGGGGTTGGGACCATCAGTTGTGTTGTGCAGAAGTCAGGTTAATACACAGCCGACAGCCCTATTGGACAACTGTTAAAATTCATATTATGGCAAGAACCAATCAGCTAACTAAAGAAAAACGAGTGGCCATCATTACTTTAAGAAATGAAGGTCAGTCAGTCCGGAAAATTGCAAAAACTTTAAATGTGTCCCCAAGTGGAGTCGCAAAAACCATCAAGCGCTACAACGAAACTGGCACACATGAGGACCGACCCAGGAAAGGAAGACCAAGAGTCACCTCTGCTTCTGAGGATAAGTTCATCCGAGTCACCAGCCTCAGAAATCGCAAGTTAACAGCAGCTCAGATCAGAGACCAGATGAATGCCACACAGAGTTCTAGCAGCAGACCCATCTCTAGAACAACTGTTAAGAGGAGACTGCGCCAATCAGGCCTTCATGGTCAAATAGCTGCTAGGAAACCACTGCTAAGGAGAGGCAACAAGCAGAAGAGATTTGTTTGGGCCAAGAAACACAAGGAATGGACATTAGACCAGTGGAAATCTGTGCTTTGGTCTGATGAGTCCAAATTTGAGATCTTTGGTTCCAACCGCCGTGTCTTTGTGAGACGCAGAAAAGGTGAACGGATGGATTCCACATGCCTGGTTCCCACTGTGAAGCATGGAGGAGGAGGTGTGATGGTGTGGGGGTGTTTTGCTGGTGACACTGTTGGGGATTTATTCAAAATTGAAGGCACACTGAACCAGCATGGCTACCACAGCATCCTGCAGCGACATGCCATCCCATCCGGTTTGCGTTTAGTTGGACGATCATTTATTTTTCAACAGGACAATGACCCCAAACACACCTCCAGGCTGTGTAAGGGCTATTTGACCAAGAAGGAGAGTGATGGAGTGCTGCGGCAGATGACCTGGCCTCCACAGTCACCGGACCTGAACCCAATCGAGATGGTTTGGGGTGAGCTGGACCGCAGAGTGAAGGCAAAGGGGCCAACAAGTGCTAAACACCTCTGGGAACTCCTTCAAGACTGTTGGAAAACCATTTCAGGTGACTACCTCTTGAAGCTCATGGAGAGAATGCCAAGAGTGTGCAAAGCAGTAATCAGAGCAAAGGGTGGCTATTTTGAAGAAACTAGAATATAAAACATGTTTTCAGTTATTTCACCTTTTTTTGTTAAGTACATAACTCCACATGTGTTCATTCATAGTTTTGATGCCTTCAGTGAGAATCTACAATGTAAATAGTCATGAAAATAAAGAAAACACATTGAATGAGAAGGTGTGTCCAAACTTTTGGTCTGTACTGTACATATGTAATAATAAATAGATTTAGTAAGTGCAAGACATTTTGCACCAACCTGGAGTCTTGCCTACTACATCTCTTTGTCCTATAGGCCTGAGAGTGGGGAACCCTCCAGCAAAGAGCCCACCCAAAGTGGGCCCCGCAGGTGCCATCCCTCCTGATGAGCCCTGAGAAGCACCAACACTGCTGGATACATCTCCAGTGCCCACCTTGGGCTCTGGGGAACAACACAAATAATTAATAACAATTACATTAGTGCTCATAATATATTCATTACCTGTTCTTTAACAAATTAGTTCATCACACGTAAGTTTATTGCTTTATGTGGTCTTATATGTGCTCAGTGGGTTTTATAATCCTGGGAATTTTACTCTTAATCATAAATGGACAACATGAAGATGCAACAGTTCAAGCAGGGACATGAGTAAATTTTGCACCACCCAAATCAACTGATCTCCCCGAGGGCCAACTACACACCTTTTCACACAACAGACCGGTCTGTTTCAGCTGGCCTGGCGCCACACATCACTGACGACGCTACGGTAAGATACTATTTACTGGTGGGGGGAACTGCACACTATAACACGTTATTTGAGCTGTGAACTAAATTATATGACTACACTGTGATGGAACACATAAACGCTGGTGGTTATATTGACATTCACTAATTCATTCATTCATTTACCATAACCGCTTATCCTGTTTGGGGTCACTGGGGGGGCTGGAGTCTATCCCAGTTGACATTGGGCGAGAGGCGGGGTACACCCTGGACAGGTCACCAGACTATCACATGGCTGACACACAGAGACAGACAACCATTCACGCTCACATTCACACCTACGGACAATTTAGAGTTACCAATTCACCTGCATTGCCGGAGTACCTGGAGAAAACCCACGCTGACACAGGGAGAACATGCAAACTCTGCTACGATATTTCATTTTAAAGCCATTATCGAAAGAATGCTAACGCCCTCTATTGTATAGATGTAAAGACAAAATATATGTATATGTAAAGACAAAAAACAAATCAACAAATTAAACATGTGGTATACCAAAGAACCTTCCAGTCTCTTCTATAAAACTGGTGGTATAGACTACTGTGGATACAATGTATGTCTTCTCTATTGTACATAGTAGTTTCCTACTGTGTCTGCATCCTTATCTGCTGTAGGGCATTCCTTCCTGAAGTGTGCACTTGATGTGTGTGTGTGTATATGTGTGTGTCTATTCTCAAATATAGCTCAAAGAGAACTAACACACTCCCAATGAACTACACACACTACCCTCTCCCCTCTTGTTGTTCCCACTCTGTTTTTAATTAATACATCACACACACAGTGGCATCTCAACACACAACTAATTTAAACTCCCTTCCTCTAAGCTCCACTGGGAGAATTACTTGATTTAGTCAACAGATGCATGCGAGCACCATTTAGTGTCTTAACATAGACAGTGTGTGTCCACTGGTAGTATGGTAAGGATGTTGCTCTTACTATCAACGATGGGGGCACTGCGGTCGTTGACCTGTGTGACTTTCTTCAGTCTGGCTCCCTTCTGGATGTCGGCCAGCAGGGCATTCCTTCCACCTCCTCCTCCTCCTCCACCAGACTGGAGCTTAGGAGGCTCCGACGGACACTGTCACACAGAGACAAAACAGAGCCTTTATGCAACAGTGACCAGTGTTTTGCTGTAAATGTGTTCTGTCTTAAGGGTCAGGATACTAATAATACAGACTATTTTGATCATCAATTAATAACGGCTTTTATAGAGCAAACTAGAATTATCAAATCATGGTTGCAGGCCTCCACCAACAAGTCAAGTTGCAGTTTACATTCATGTCTGTCCAGACTCAAATATATCTTGAAGACTTTGAAGGAATTTAATTAAAGGTATTAAGTGCATATTTGTGAAATTGAAGTTATTACTATACTGACATGATTCCAGTGAGAAACACGCTGTCTCCACTTAAAGACTATTTCTACAGAGGAGTACAGAGGACTGATAAGAGAGCTTCATCATGGTGCAACAACAATCACTTGAAGCTCAAAATCTTCAAAACCAATGAGCTTGAACTACAAGAGGACCTGGACAGAACACAAAGTTGTAGCCACAACATTTGACTCTGTTACAAATTCCAAAACATGGATGCTTCACACACATCTTCAACCCGGCAGCACAGACGATGCGTACAATCAACACAGTTTCAAGGTGAACACCCAAGATTAGTGTCCAAATGTCCCCACTTCTGTTCCTGAGTTATGACGTTGATTAACGGCCAGAAAAAGTGTTTTTGCAGAACATTGTGATGTCACAGTGTAGCTTAACTTTTTGGATATGAAATGTCATCACTTCATGATTTTACTCTATTACTGTAGGTATCTCTGTTGAATTTTGTCATAATTAACGTATGATTTCTTGAGCTATGGCTAAAAGGGTGTTTTGTGAGATCACTGTTAGGGTTAGCTACTGCTCCAGAGATGGTTTTTGGCTCACTAAGAAACCAACGGAACGGCTGCAGAGCTCTGTTTCCGGCTTCCAGGCCAGGCTAGAATCATCAGTTGCAGCCCTACTAACAGTGTTTTCAAGACTTTTAGGTTTTATTTGATGTCATCTTTCACAGAAAGAGGTGGGTGAGAAAATAATATGGCACTATCCCCATCCACTCAGAATCACCTCTGCTGACAAAAACAGCAAGAGGGTGCAGTGAAAGCATTCAGCAAAGGGTTAAGAGAGGGAGAAGAGGTAGACGTTAAATGTGAGTGAAGCAGAAAAGGAACAAGAAGGGAGAAGATCATGTTTAATTGTTTTAATGGGTTCATAGAGAGATGAGAAACACTGTGACTTCAGTTTATTGATGTGTTCTGAAGCTGCTAAACTGTGTCTCTGCAGCGTGGCCTTGTTTGCTGGCAGCCGCAACTCATTTAACATGAGGACACTGAGCGCCTGATGTGGAAACATAACACTCTGCTGCTACTGAGAGTCTGCTGTCTGCCTTACTCTGCGTGTGTGTGTATTACCTTAATCAATAATGCAAATAACCTACAGGTGATGGTTGATGGTCAGTGAGAAGGACACAAGTGAGTGTTTACAATTGCATGAGAGAGAGTTAGAGAATGACAGTCTTACCTGTGGCAGGGCAGAGCTTGGCGGCGGTGGCGGCGGTGGTGGAGGGGGAGCCAGGGGAGGCGGAGGGGGAGGAGGGGGCACTGGCATGCTGAGGCCTCAGATACCTGCGGAAGGCAATGCAGAAACAAACACAATCGCCATCCTGTTCATGCACTGCAGCCACTGTCCACAGTCAGAAGCTGCTACTGTGTACAGGGGCACTTTGGATGACCTCCTACCCTCTTTACTGAACAGGAAGAGCTTTCACCAGTATACAGCGCAAAACAGGAAACAGAGAGCGCTCCATCCTCTCTAGAGAAATCTGACACACACACACACACACCCCGCCCCTGTCCTCCTCTTCTTCCCACACTGCCCTGTGGCAGGGACTTTAGGAGAGGAACAACGGACAGTGTTGTGTGAAAAGTAATAGACCCCTGCCCCTCAGCCGCTCAGTGACCATTGGCCCTCACTGCAGTAAGTGAATGGAAAATACAGTCAGGAAACTTCTCAGGAAAATGTTACAGCATGCTCACTCATTGTTCTTTCTGTACAGGATGTCTTGTGGTTCTATTATCAAGAGCAACTGGTTCGTGTATCACTTTGATAAGTGATAGTGGCCGAGAGCAACTTTCCAGGAACAGCTCATGCCCGAGATCATATCACCGTTTGTCAATCTCCACATTAATGACAACTCAGCTAGTAAATGATCCACAGCAACAGTCACTGAGACCTCCACATAACTTTCTTGACATCATAAATTCTTCAGGAGCTGTCTTGCATGGCTGAGAAGAACTCAAAACAGCCCGACGTTTGTGCACATTAGATTCTCTGTGGAATCTGCACATGCTCCTCCTGAGAAATTTAATAAAACAGAACAGAAACTGTGTTTGTTGAATCTGTATCTGTCCCTCTTGTCTTGTCTGTGTGTGTGTGTGTGTGTGTGTGTGTGTGTGTGTGTGTGCAATTCCCGTCTATGCAACTGGCAGCCTGTCCTCCGTTGCTATTTCTATCTCCATATCTGTGTCAAGCAGCCTCTGTGACACTAGTGTAGGACTTTAAAGGGGGCAAAGCTGGACACTGGTTAGCTGAGCTCTAAAAGAACAGGTGGGACACTGAGAGGAAATGCACCTCTCACACCAGCTGTTTTCCTTTGACCTGTTGTACGTCTTGTTCTTCCTGAAGCAAAGAAGATCTAATGACACAAACACACACAAGCAGCTGGAAGTGGCAGCTGCTGCAGCTTTAACTAGTGATTTCTACATTTTTCAATGTGAAAGACATGTAAAAAGACAGAGAACCTGGAGCCCAAGCTGAGGCTGTCCTAACTGACCTGAGGATACAACATAGTGCTGAATCTCTATTGTATGAATCAATGAAGCAGGTGTCACTTTAATGTTCTGTTTAGCGTTTTAGAGACAGACTCCAGCTGTAAATCATTGTTGTGTGCTGACATTAATTTCTGTATTTTTTCCACTTTCAATAAATGTGCAAAAAGAAATATTTTAAAGGGACTGTTCACGCCAAAATCCAAACTACATATATTTCCTCTTACCTGTGGTGCTATTTATCAATCTAGATTGTTTTGATGAGCTATTGGCCATAAATGTCTGCCTTCTCTCTTACAAAGTGGGACTGGACGCCTCTCAGTTTGAGGTGCTGAAAGAGCCAAAAAGTACAATTTATCAGTTTGATGTAGGAACTTTTTTTCTTTCTACCAAACTACACCCACCAACCACATCATCAGAAGGAAGAGTGCATCTACTCGTGGACGAAACGCTCAAGCTTGTGCCAGCAGGAGACTCTCCATCCTTCTGTGGGATGATCCAATTTTTGGGTGTAGCTTGGTAATAGGGCTGCAACTAACGATTATTTTCATTGTCGACTAATCTGTCGATTATTTCTTTGATTAGTCAACTAATCATTTTATCGAAAAATGTGTTAAAATGTTAAAAAATGTCGGTCTGTCTCTCCCAAACCCCAAAATTATGCCAATATATGAATGTAAGAGGCTCCAATAAGAGTATTTTGGGGTACTTTTATAGTACTTTTCTATGAAAAATGACTCAAACCAATTAGTCGACTACTAAAATAGTCACCAATTATTTTCATAGTCGATTAGTCATCGATTAGTTGACTAATTGTTGCAGCCCTACTCGGTAAAGAAAACAGTTCCTAAATGAAACTGCTCACAGCAAGGTCTGTCAATTATCTTGAGTAACAGGGTCATGATTTCAGCAAAGACCTCCACAAACCGAGTGCCATCTAGTTCCATTATATTCGACAGAGGGCAAACATCTCTATGATCGATATCTCTAATACTTGGCAACTGAAACCAAAACAATCTAGACTGATAAGTAGCACTACAGGTAAGAGAAAAAATGTGCATTCTTTAAGTTGGGGGTAAACTGTCCCTTTAAAGGGAAAAAAGGTTGATATTGATTTTTTTTAAACACATACAGCAGTGGATCTGTGGGACCTCAAACAATGAGGAAGTAAAGCCAATGTCTGCAAAACACAAGTGTTAAAACAATCATCCTTATCATCATCTTTCACCATATATTTAACTTTAACTGAGAATGAATGAATCTGTAACTTTTGTGAAACGAATTTACAAGTGATAGCTTTTTGTCCTTTAATATAGAGTGCCTGAATAAAATGCACCTTGAAAACCTATCCACCAAAACAGCAAAGCCTTGAAGAGTCAGGTACAGCTGATGCGCCATGCCATTGAAGAGACAGTAACAAACACTCAGCTCATCTTCTGTAAACACTTCTTGTTTTGCACATTTTGATATGAATAAGAAAAACCACCTGTCACACATTGTGTGCATTAATAATAGATGGCAGTGTTGTCTTACCTTCACGAAATATCCAAAATTCACCTGTTTGCAGAGCAAGCTTCAGTGAGACGGACCACAGCACACTGGCCTCATGGTGCGCTCCCTGTAGCGTTATTTATAGTCCAATGAGGACACCAGTTATTCAGTGTTTGGGCTGCCAGTGACTAAAACTTATGGAGCTTCAAAAAGTTCAAGAAACTTTTCATTTGACGCCAAACTGCAGACGCTGGCTGACGGTGGTCGTGCACAATGGTTCCTTTCTGGGTGTTTATTCCCGTGTGAGCGCACTGCAGGAGGCGACACGGTGCAAGGCCACACCTTACCGCCCCACACTCAGCACGGGACCAATGGGGAGAGAGGGGGGGGGCACTTGGCTCCGTGTCGTCGCCTCAGTTCTTGCTGAAGTTGCCAAGAAACTTTCCCTCACCTTGAATTGCGCATGTGTGGAATAAAATTAACATTATGTAGGCATGAGAACCTGTTCAAACTAAGGGGTGAAGAAGTCTGCACCACTGACTTTTCTAAAACATGATCTGACTGGGTGTCGTTTGTTTTTCACCTCAGTATATTTTAGTGCCATTCATTTCTGTTTGCAGCTGTATGGTGGCACATTTTCGCCCCCTCGTGTTAAAAATATGACAATACAAGTCATTTTTTTTCAAATGTGTCCATATCAAATTAATTGTTTCACTTACTGAGTAGCGGCATGGGCGGATTATGAGACAATGAGCCCCTGGGCACAGCTGTGTAAAGGGCCCCACCACCTGTCCTACACACAAGACACACTTTGTAGGGGGTTTGCTTCTCCTTGTTATTATGGTTGCTCTTTTCTTTTTTTCTTGTTTTGTTTTTTTTTTCAGTTTTGTGTTTCCTTGTGCCATTTGTCTCCTTGTGGTTGTTGTGTGTCTCTGTAGCCATTTTGTGCTTTCTTGTGGTTGTTCTGGGTCACTTTGTAGCCATTTTGTGACTCTTTGTGGGTTTTTTTATGTCTTCTTGTGATTGCTTTGCATCTTTTTTCTAGTTTTTTTATTTTATTTTTGTGTCTCTGGAATCGTTTTGTGACTGATTTTTTTGGTTGTTTTGTGTTCCTTTGTAGTCGTTCCTTTGTATTTCGTTTTTCCTTGTGTCATTTTGCATCTCCTTGTGATTGTTTTGTGTCTCGTAGCCATTTTGCATCTCCTTGTGATTGTTTTGTGTCTATTTGTAGCAATCTGTGTCTCTTTGTGGTTGTTTTGTGTCTCTTTGTGGTTGTTTTGTGTCTCTTTGTGATTGTTCTGTCTCATTGTAGCCATTTTGCATCTCCTTGTCATTGTTTATGTCTCTTTGTAGCCATTTGTGTCTCTTTGTGATTGTTTTGTCTCTCTTTGGAGCCATTTTGTGTTTCCTTGTGATTGTTTTGTCTCCCTTTGGAACCATTTTGTGTTTCCTTGTGATTGTTTTGTGTCTCTCTGTAGCCATTTTGTGTCTCTTTGTGATTGTTTTGCCCATTTTTGTAATTATTTTGTGTCTCTTTGTAGTTTCTTGGCATCTCTGTATGTTTTGTTTTTTTTAAATGTCTCTTTGTGGTTGTTCCAAGTCTCTTTCTGGTCGCTACGTGTTAATTTACATTTGACATTTTGCAAGTGATGGGCATGGGGTTCCCTGAAACTTTGGGCCTCTGAGCTGGGCAACTGCCTAGGGCGCCACCCAGATGGGAGGGGCAATACTCCCCCTTATTATATCGTATAATGATGTTGTATATTTATTTATATTTCAGCTAAGTTATTTGTTTTGATTTCTAATTAGTTATAATTGTTCATGTTTGTAATCAATACAGTAATCATAAGAGAATTTTTTATTTTATTTTTATTTTTATTTTTATTTTGGTGGTGAAGGGGCGGGGGAAGCTTGCCTAGGGTGCCAAATATGTGCCAGGTCAGGTCCTGCACTTCCATTAACAAAATAACTTTAATGCGTCACATTTAAATATCCGTACGTGATTTCACAGCCATAAATGACGCAGTAGTTACAATCCTGCTACATAAACACAAATGCTGCAGGCACACATACACACACACACACACACACACACACCTCAAACCTCAGCAGTGACAGAGGAATGCAGTGACACAGGCACGCTCCTCCCTTTAAGTGACAGAACAGTATAATTAGAACTGGGTTTGACTTGCACTGCAGACATAAAAAGGACACTAATTCCTTGTAATAGCAATAGCCTTTTTCAGACAAAGTGATAATCACACGAGCCGCACTCCGCGCCTCTTCCAGTAAAGTGATGATTAGGAACCAACATGGCCGCCAAGAGGAGTGATATTACTTCTCTGTACATGGTGTCTTTTAGCTCATGTTTTGAAGTGCACATATTCTCCTGTGTTTATGTGACTTAATTCTTACTAATTCTTACACTGTATATATCTTTTTGTTTTTAGTATGCATTAGTCTGTATACAACATTTATCCTGTCCAATCACTGTCCAAGTTGAGCCATTGTGATTAAATTGGAATAATGAGGCACACATGCACATACACACGCAGTTATCAGATTTATTTCTCAAATTTTGCCTTCATTTAAGTATCCACAAGTGGTCCACAATACAGTAGCCCTGCAAAGCAAACTACATCTGGATCATACTTCCTTAGCTACATGGCCATATCACATTCACTTGGATGTCATGACATTAGCTTTTTACTTCAGTGTCAGTAGTAGCTTGTTTTGGACCCATTATGTCATAAAACATGCTGGATTTCATCCTTCATACAAAGTGTTTTATGCACTTTTACTGGCAAGTGTCACGTATCTGACTAAAAGCTGCTCACAAACATTCCTTAATTTCTTCCACTAACTGATTTTTTTTTTCACACAATATAACTATGAAATCATTTTACACCTTCATAAACATCCTTCTAACCAGGCAGAATCAACATTTTTTTGTAAAAGCATTTGTAAAAACGTTGCATTATACTTATCCTTCATTATCAAACATATATTATTCTTATTACAGAAATAATGTAAACACCTTATGAACAATATTTTCCTGGAGCATATCACACTTCATCTTGAGTACTGACTGAAAATTGCATTCTGGGATTGTGTTTTCTTAAAGGTTGTTAGTCATTTTAAGGCTTGTCCAATGATGACACTGTCTGTGACTGAGGCAGTGGCACAGTGGGACATTAATACATATTGGGGTATTAAGTGCTTAGAGTTATAGTACTGTATCTCTACTTTTAAGCTTTGATTATGGGATATTGTGGGCGAAAATGGTTCGATAACCATCATAAAGAACAAATATAATCCTTTTCAAGTTGATGATTATTGTTTCTGTGGCCTTCTGGCACAAGTCCATCAACATAGAAGTCCAAATGTCTAATGTTTCATATACAATAAACTTGATTCCAGCAGTATTGAGCTAAAAGTTGAATGCTCCTTGTTATCTTCATCACCGTAACCAACACACAGCAGAGCTCCTGGTATGCCTCAAGAGAATGAAGCGTCTTCATTTCTTTGAATCCCTCTCCTTTTCTTCGTGCATCATTTTATGGGGCAGTCTTTGATCGTCTACTCCTCCTCGCGATCCCCGCATGTCCTCTTTCCCTGATGCCACATTATCTGTCTCTTTCTCCTGTGTAGGAAGGGTCTGGCGAATTTTTCCCTTCACCTTAAAGCGACCAGAGCGTGAAATCCTCATGTTCCTGCGACATGTCTGCTCGTTGAAGTACGTCTCCAGGCTGGACTCTTCATTGGTGTCATTGCTGTGGATGCTGGCCTCCTGTTGAGACAGGGCCTGGTCACCGGAGTCTTTTTGCTTCTCTGACCTTGGAGCAAAAGGGTCAAAGTGCGGCGTGGTGTGGGTTGTGCTGGTGTCCTTGGAGCCTCCACTTTTCTTCTTTGGCAGGAATGCCATCCACCATGGGGTCCTCTCTGTCATCTTTAACTGATGGGAGGGAACTGGAACAGAAAACAGAGGCATCAGTAATTCAGCTGTAGTCAAGATCTTCTCCTCTACATCAGTATTATTTTAGATCATGTAATTTCATCTGTGAAATCATCTGTCTACATGCTCTGAACTGACTCCTTATTTAACTTACTCTCTATTTTCTAGTAAAACAGCAAATTATTCCCTTAAAAACTGTGTCATGTCTTTGGTTTTGAAAAATATTACTCATCACACTCCACATCTTCGTCCCCACCCTCATAATCATCACAAATCCTATTTTCTGTTTGATTATCATGATTTGCCCTCTCTAAATATAAATGTACCTTACTCTCACCTTTCTGGTGATTATTTCCCACTGTGATGAGACAGCTTCTTACCAACTTACCTAATCCTAAGAATAACCAGTGTAACCATGTTCACCTTCTCTGTAAAACTGGTTTAATGAGTCGTAAGAACAGAAGAGCAAAGCCAAGCAGTGATTCACAGGTGAACAATGCGAAAAAAAAGCTCTCGTGAACACTCACCTGTGCTACAGAAGTGTAGTGTGTGGACACTTAAAACGACCCGAAACAAAGTGTAAATATGACACTTTTGTTTATGTTGAGATATAAATCCACAGGACAGACCAGTGTCTTCGTCTTCAGTATTGGAGCACAACTGTGGCAGCAGTCCTTCAAGGGGTCGCAGCAGTATCCATTTTACGCACGGGCCAGGTGTCTTGCCTCCTCACATTTCTCACCTCCAAAACTGTTCATTTTCTCCTCTTGACCTCGTCAAATATGTCTACTCTTCTTTTTCACTTCTCGAGAATAGCACAAATGAATTGATACATTTATAAGGAGCAGCTTCTCTTACTGAACAAGCAGGTTTCCGCCTCCGAAACTGACATCTCTCCGAGTACCTGTCCTTACTCCTGATTGGATGAACACGCTGGGTCTGTCATGTGATCTCCCGCTCAGGTGAATCCTCTGCGGTGGTAGGTGGGACTTGTGGTTGCCTGGCAACATACCCCATGGGAGCGTGCGCCTCTTCAATGACAGATTAAAAAAACAGAGCCCTTTGTATCACCTGAACCCAACCCAGGCCAGGGAGCCAAATTATGTTCCAATTTTGGACGCCCAGTAGTTTAAGACACAATGGCTCATAGCTTTTATGTCATGCACAAGGAAAGGAATGACATAGTGAGATATGTATTCAATTAATGTTATTAATAGTCACCAACCCAAAGAGGCTGTAGGGCTACTCAGCAGCAAGCAGTCAGGCTGTGTGGTTTAACTGAGGGCCTGTGCTGACATTATTAGGGGGGTGAGCTGTAGGATGAAGTCAGGAGTCTCCTGAAGTTACATTACTGCACTAGACATGCAATTGTTACTGTTGTAAGTTGACATAACGTGAGGGGAAGCTGTTTGGCCTGGCGCCGGTTTCACCTGCTGGGCTAGGCCTACTTGTCGCACGTGATTCTTCTTGTCCTCACACTGTATTTTTAAGTCTAACTCTGGGGGTCAGTGTCATGTAGTTTTCCTGCTAGTCTGGGTCTGTCAAAATGACACATAACCAAGATGCATACACTAATACATGGCTTCAACACATGCTGCATCACCTACAGCCCAGTATATAGTTACATACAACCAGACATATAGGCTAGATGACATGTTTAAAAAGAGACTCAGCTGTGATAATAGTTTCTTAATGACACTTTTTACTTAATGTTTTTGAATGTTTTACCAAGGTGACGTTACAAAAGCTAACAGTCCTTACGGTAATACAGGGCATGAGTTCTCACTTTCTCATAAACTCTTAAAGCTACAGTCACATGCTAATATGTGCGGCAACTAAAATGGCCATGATGATAATGGCAGTGATGGAAAATACTATACTTAGCTCCACCTGGACCAGCTACGAGAGCAAAATGTTACTTTCACATGAATGCATCAATATTAATAATACAATCATATAATATTTGACGCTCTCATAGATGGTGGTGGATCTATCTGTAGGCTACATAGGCGGCTATGTAGGGTGCCAACCAGAGCCCCAACCCCCCAACAAACATCAAACATAGGGGGTAAATGATCCAAAAGACTCATCACTAACGGTCAGTCTGTGGTACCACCTCTAGTGTTGGCAATGCAGCTCACCTTAATGTGTGCATCAGTGATTGATTATCAAAGTCAGACCATGTTGGAGCATTGACGATATGGTGGAGCGGAATGGTGGAAATGCAATACATTGCTCGCGCAATGGGGGATAGCAGAGTCACTGGTACATTCCGGCTAGCTAGTACTGCTTTAGCTAGCTAGTACTGCTATTTTATTAGAGTGCAGGGCACTAGAACTGTCATATTTTTGGGGGTGTGCCAGTGCGAGTTTTTCCTCCTTGCCCACCATATTTCATACCTGCTTCTTCTGTGAATAATAAAAAGTGGTTAATTTCAAGTACGTCGCTTGCATTATCACCCCCACTGGCAACGCATGGTATTACACGCATCGCTGCATTGCGTATCAAAAAAATGGACAACACATTTTGAGACGCAAGCACGCATCATGGCAGCCAATGCGTCTCGATGCGTCCCAATACGTTCATGTCTGCGTGCCTTTGCGTCGACTATGAAACGGCCCTAAGAGCAAATCAAAAGAAGCAAAAAGAAGAAGATGAAATGGGCCAGGAAGTTGCCCGGGGCGCCAAATGTGCCAGGTCCGGCACTGCTCATAGGGGCCATTTTTCTACACAAGTAGCACTTACATGTAAGGATATTTCGCTGATAATAGTGTACTTTAATTTTAGTTACATTTGCAGTACACGTGCCCTGCAGTTCTTTCTCTGCATGGTCCATTGGAGCTGTCTTCCCGATGAACTAAAAAGCTATACAGGCTTACAACTGATGTATTAGTTACAACCATTTGTGAAGGGGACTTGATTAGAAAGTAACCATTTAATCACAGTGTGAGTTTGAATTAGTTTTAAGTGATTTAGTGGTGGTTTGTATCTTATCATCAAGGTTAAGCCTCATTATAAAACATGATGTAAAGAATTCTGCATACAAACCTCCTCAAAAGGGAACATTTTCAAGCTACAAAACAGGCTTAAAACACAATTACATGATTACAATATGCAATACACACGTGCAAAAAATGCTGGAGAGCTCGGACAATTGTTTTAATAATCTTTATTTCATATAATCAGAGCTTCATGTGGGGCTTGAGACACATTTTACATTATTCATTTAAGTCTCTTTTTCAAAACTAATCATTGTGTCAAAGCCAAGTTTCGAAGTGTAGGTTAGGGAAACAGCATCTCCTAGACGTGACGTTATTCTTGAAGCAAGCTATTTTTCTTGGTATGCCTGTGGAATCCCAAATGGTTTCTGTGTGGGTCAGTGCCAACAGGGAAGACCTGGTGTGAGTCTGAGCAGCACATCAGATCGAGACAGAAACAGAGAGAGGAGGGAGGGAATTAGGGAATGCCTTTTGTCTCCCTCCTCCAGCTGAAAGTTGTTGTGGCAACAAGAATGTGTGCTGTTTCTGTCTGTCTCTCATTTGGCAGATGGTGGCCCGCCTGCATACTTGGGGACTCCCTCTCCTCTCATCTCCCATCCCGGTCGAAACTCTGCAGAGTCATGTCTTCATTCAGCCACACACAGAATGCTATCCTTTGTTGTTGCTTTATCTTATCTCAAATGTGCACACATTACCAGACATTAGAGATGATGCAGATGACCTAACAGAATAATATTTAAGGGCTGACACTAATGATTATTTTCATGATGAGTTAATCTATTGTATCCACTCTGATTCCTATTAATTGCTTGCTAGGTGAAATATCTGGAAATTGCCCATTGCAGTTTTTCATCGCCTAAGATGATTGTCCAGCTATGGAAATGAAACTCAAAGATATTTTATTTGATTAGAAAAACACGGAACAAATCCTTACGTTTAGGAATCTGGAACCATCTTATCTCTGCATAATAATAATAATAATAATAATCATTTTGACACTGCTTTCCCCACTCCCCCATGACCCACATAGGTACAGCTCCTTCTGGTCTAAACAACATCATAATCAAAGGATGTTATCTTGTCACATCCACTCTCAGTTTTGGTCTGCTTCCTCAACTCTCTGTCCCGTATCTCCCCATCTGCTTACTCTCTGAAAGTTGATCATTAACTTCAACCAAACCAGATAAAGAAAAACATCCATGCAGGGATCTTTCAGATAAAGCTGCACTATTGCAGTGACATTAGGTTCTCCACCTCCGAGGACAGAGCACGTTTTGAGCATGTTTCAGTTTTGAGTGAAGGATTTCCTCAGGGTGAAATCTGAGTTTTTGCCCATTGAGACAGAGAGGCATGTGGAGAATGTGTGTCGAAATCCACATGACACTGCAGAGATATTGAAACAGTGATTGCATAAGGTAATTCCTGTCCACCTGTATCTGTTTATGCCTCTGAGATATTGTCTCCATGACAAACTGCATGAATCAACTTTTTTTTTGTCTCCCTGACAACTAGCAACACATAAGGACGGAAACTTTCAGTGGCTTTAAAAAAAAAAAAAGACCTGCTGTGGACCTGTGGAGTCAATAACAAACATTTCCGGACTGTCAAGTACTGAAGCAAATACTGTTTGTAGCTGGAATTCAAAGATTGTTAGTACACAATTTAATGTCAAAAATGATTTCTAAATCTCAAAGGGGTCTGGTTGTTATATATAAATAATTAGCTGAGATTTGAGAGCTCATAGGCTGAGACAAATCTGCATTGGGAGACACATGAACAAACCAAAGTGACTCACTCAACCATGGATAAATATTTATGTTGACTTACATTCACACGGTTCATATTAGGCAACATGCACCCGTCTACGCTCGTGTTTTCCTGTGTGATGACGGTGGTGTGCTTGCATCACGCATGTGCCATGTGCGTATGAGTCCAGTAATTCATTGTGACATGACAAACCTGAAAATCTCCGCCATTGTGCAGCACTGTACAACAGGTTGAACCGAGGCGTGCGAACCATGGGAAAGAGAGCAGGAAGGCAGCCAGTTGGACTGGTAGAGTCAGCTAACAAAAACTCCTCAAAGGAAGTGAGTGGCTACTGTGTCTGAGGACAGTCACAAGCACAGACATGGTTTACTGGTCTTCTCTAACAGCACCAAAACTAAAGTGCTCCTTAAACACTGACTATCTCATAGGTAAACAAATGTATACAGTCCAGTCCACAGGTGAGGGTTAGATGGGTAAAAATAGTGGAAGGAATACAGACTAAACAAATATGCAGTCCAGAGCGTTTGGGTGGAGCAGGTCGAGTTTTGTTCCTGTGAAAAATGAGTTTCGATTGTATTGCATTGTGTGCTTGATTTGAGGATTGCATTGTTTGGCCGGTTTTTCCTCTGTGCTTTTTACTTTTGTGTTATTAAACAGTGAGTAAAGCATCTGAAACTCGCATGAACTTTGCCGCAGATGCTAAAGGTGAAACCTTCAGGAATGCAGAAAGGAATGTAACACTTTATAGCCATTTTATTTGTATTTTTTGGGTGTCTCTCTTAAGTACTTATGGCTTATATAACAGACAAAAACTCAGATATAAGGTTACAGCCATGCACTCACACAGATTTGGTTGACTTAACTGTAGTCTACTTATGAGGACCTGCTACTTATTACAAAACCCTTGACCCATGGATTGATTACTGAGTGGGACCACTGGTAACAGGCCAAGACTCTCGAAATAGCCGTTAAAAGTGGGGATCCTTGGCCACCCTGGCATTCACACGTAAAATTTCACTCAAATGAACATGTATTGACCAGATAGAGACTCAAAATGACCATAAAGACATGCAAAAGAGCTGCAAAGAAAAACTAAATAACTACAAACGTGACAGGAGACAGAAAACAACCTAAAAAAGACACATGTTTAGTTTAGTTTAGTTTAATTTAGTTTAGCTTAGCTTATATTAGCTTAGCTTAGCTTAGCTTAGCTTAGCTTAGCTTGGTTTGGTTTAGTTTAGTTTAGTTTAGCTTAGTTTAGCTTAGCTTGGTTTAGTGTAGTTTAATTTAGTTTAGTTCAGTTTAGTTTAAGGGTGGCAAGGTTGTGTGGTGGTTAGCACTGTTGCCTCACAGCAAGAGGGTTCCTGGTTCAATCCCAGGAAGGAGCCCTTCTATGCGGAGTCTACATGTTTTCCCCATGTCAGCGTGGGTTCTCTCAGAGTACTCAGGCTTCCTCTCACTGTCCAAAGACAAAAAGGGGATAGGTTAATTGGTGACTCTAAATTGGACGTAGCTGTGAATGGTTGTCTGTCTCTATGTGTCAGCCCTGTGATAGTCTGGCGACCTGCCTCTTGCCCAATGTCAGCTGGGATAGGCTCCAGCCCCCCACGACCCTTAAGAGGATAAGCGGTTACGAAAATGGATGGATGAATAGTTTAGTTTAGTTTAGTTTAGTTTAGTTTAGCTTAGCTTAGCTTAGTGTAGTTGAGTCTAGAGGGGACAGGTCATATAAATAAATAGGCCACATATATAAATGCCAGAAGTAGCCAAAAGGTTTTTTTTTCTTCTCTTTTTTTAAGTGTCCCTGGTCAAGGTGTTACGAGAGGTTAATGACCTGAAAGAGACCCCTGTGTGTGTGTGTGTGTGTGTGTGTGTGTGTGTGTGTGTGTGTGTGTGGCGAGCGTTAGAGTTAATTCCCCTTTACACTGCCACTTCAAGGTGGGAATATCACGCCATTATGCTGCCTCACCGTGCTGTATACAGTGTACACTCACAGAGTGGGGGACATGGGAGGTAGTGACAGCGCCAAAATAGTGTCTGTATAAACACGACAGGCGGCAGGATGGGACCATGTGCAGAACAGGTGTGACTTTTTGATTTTGTGTTATGAGTGTGACTCACTACGGGAAATTTAAAAAGTAGCAGTTAGCGGCTAACTCAAAGAAGAACTATAGTAGCTGTAAATGTCCGAAAATTGGGAAAATAATAAAATTCTGAAGTTCCTTACCAGTGAGTAGAGGACGAGATCAGCTGCCATGTAACAGAGATGGTAAATGATTGTTATTGCCATGTTTTGCTGTTGTTATTGTTTATAAAGTGCTGCTGTTTTTTGTGACAATAGAGGCTGATGCTGTTGTATTACATGTCACAGCCGTCATGCCTCTTTTGATTCAGCAATGCCAGGATGCAGTCTATCATCACACACCGGAACAAAATGATGTCGTCATTTGAATCTGTGTAAAAATGCAAAGGAGACATAAAGAGGGGACTTTACAGCGGCCCTATAGTGTAATCTCTGGTTAAAAAGGGCTTTAAGAGTCAATGAAAAGGCAAAGACATCTGGGTCACAGGTTACAGCACCACAAAAAGAAGCATAATGACTACAGAAAAACACAAAACAACAACAACAAAGGAAGAAACAAAACCACCACAAAGTCTGCGTGTCTTGGTCCTGTATAAGAGAGGTGCTGGGACCTTTTGTATGTCTGTGCGCAGGGGCCCATTGTCTCCAAATCCACCCATGTCCTGACCGTAACCCACACCATATGACTAATAGGAAACTACCTTACTCTATTGTACCTTCAAACCAAAAGTCCCAAAGCTAAACTGGCCTGTTCAGACTTTACCTTGGAGACTTGCCATTATTGCACTACTAGTTTTCTAGTGCTAACATTTCCTTGTAACCTGCATCAAATACTGGGGCCTTGCCATTTTTGTGGACTTGTTTAATCCTCTTCATCACCCAAATTCTACCAACAATCCCATTAAATAGTTTTAATATTAGATAAAAGATTGTTTTCAATAGATAGGATGAAAACTTGTGTTCTAATACATAATTGAAGCTATAAAATTTAACTGTAAGCTACAGAAAGTAAAACAAAGTCAGATTGGGTTTGTAGAATGACATTATACCAGCACTTTAAGAGCATCTTAAAAAGTAAGCCTAGAGCTTGAGACTCAATCTGACACTCTAATGCAGTGTTGCATCTTTTACACAGTATTTACTTGCTTGAGCTACAGTCACAGCAAGTCTAAGTTTAAACTTTGGTCTACGCTTTATCTCCAAAACAAGAAATAGTGAATCAATAGTAAAGCAATGACAAATAAAAAAGTGTGTCAGTGTAGCAGTGAAAATATCTATGCCTTTTTTAAAAAAAAAATCTGACCAAAGTAACGCCCTGGGAAAAGTTCTGGGGTCAAGCAGCTTCTTACAAATCAGCACACTTTCTGTTATTTGACCACCAGATGGAGACAAATCTCATTTATCTGTTTTCATACTTCAGGGTACAACATTGTTTCATCACAGGCTTGGAGATGACCAGTCAAATGAAAAGCTTACATTGGTTGCCAGTGCTGACAAAACCACTTTTTACATATATTTCCATTTTAATATTTCTATTTGAAAAAAATGTATTGGGATCAGCTGGAAAGTGTTACAAGCCATTTCAGTGGAGCACAGACCCAGACTGATAAGAGAGCTCCCACCTTTTATTCGTGTGTTTAAACAGACACAGTTAAGGTATTAAGGTATTTTATCTGATAAGAGATTAAATAGAGATCAAATTTGCACCTCTGCCTGCCAGTGGTAGTAATGAGGTTGATGAGAGCATTGAGACTGAACTGAAACAGCAAAGTTGCTGCTGTAAAACCAAAACCGTTCGCTGAGAGCAACTGTGAACTACTTTAATCATTAGATCCTTTGTTAATATCAAAATGTTGATTGATACAATTTTAAAGTTTCACAAATATATTAAGTTATTAGTTTCTGAACCTGTACTTCCTAGATTTGAAACAATATCCTCCTGGGATCAGATCAGTAGGACCCGATAAGTGTAAAAAAACTAAACATTGTCAACAATTACTAAGTCCCAGTGTCCTCACATGAGATGATAATAAAGTCCCAATGTCTTCAAACGAGTAGTTCCTAATTAACAGTTTGTTACTGTTGCTAAAATTGTCCAAATTTGTTGCCGTATCGAACTACAATCATTATTAATCATAAGTAAACAAGTTTCAACCATAAAATGTGATCAGGTTTTGGACCTTGTCCACGTTTGTGTCAGGATCGCCTGCAGACTGACTTGGCAGAGATGGCTGCCATCTTGTTTTTACATGGATTAGTGTATTGTGGTCTTACTACCACTATGGCACAAAAAAGGTGTCCACGAATGAGGACAACAGGCCTAAGTTAAGTAAAATGATGTATAAGGTCAGGTAAGCCCAAAATGTGACGTCCTCATATGAGGACTCAGGGTCTCAGGAGGATATGCTGTAAAAAGTGGTACTATCTTTTTTTAATTACCTACTAAATAAATCAGTGCAAGAATGATTGTGCTCCCCACATTAAGTATAAACTAGGCTTGTACCAACTATACGTGTTTATAAAAAGAATGACTGTCATCTATAATTTGTTTCCTGATGAACTGACACAATTTCAAGCAGCTGTTTCTGCCACCTACTGGTGTAAACATACTTCTGCGACATGCCCAAGTTTCACTGTGCTTGTGCAGAATGTGTACATCATTCGTCCATTTATCTGCATAAATAAGTTCAGTACTTCAATCGCTTCGTTGGCTCCCAGTGCAGCAAAACATCAACTTAAAATTCTATCTCATGACACACATATTTATTAAACACAACAAACGGGGAAAAGAAATTAAGAATAGAAAAAAAAGTCAACAAAATGTGTAGAAAGCCTTTTATGCTTGGAGTTAATGACATTGTGTTTGCGTCTATGACTTCATCCACCTGGCCAGTTCAGAGAGTCAAAAGAAAAGCTCCTATTTTGTAAAGTTCTGTTTCTCTAGATGATATTTTAACATGATAACCCTTCACAAGTGGCAGCTTAAGTATCAACCTTCAATGACATAAACAGTTGACACCTTTTTAAAGTGTTACAACTAACCCCAATAACAACTAAACTATTTTTTATCTTTATCTATCTCACTCATTTTTTCAGCATGCTATGAGAGTTGGTGAAAGAAAAACTGATAGGAGTGTGCTTGAGGCAGGGAAAGACAGTAAGGTCTGTCCCCAAAGATTACTCTATCTGCCATGTGACACTGAGAAGATACTGCAAGAATAAATAAATAAATAAATACAACACATCAGAGAAAGAGGATCACACCAGCTGCCCTGACACACAGAAGTCAAAAAGTCTTCAGTGAGCAGCAGAACAATGTCTCAACTGGTTGACTGACTTATATTTTGGACAGGTACAGGTTAGTGAGTTAGACTTCAGTAGGAATTGGTTATTAGTGTATTTATCAGTTTTTTTTGTGTGTATTTTCTGTTATTGTGTAATTCTAAATTCCTCTCTCTTATTGTTACAACCTACTGCTGTAGTGGGGCAGGTTGTAGTAATGACACTCCTTGCATTCAACATCAGTTAATGAATTCTGTGATATAGTTGGAGAGGTTGAAAAGGTTGCTATTTGTAGTGGAGATTTAAGGGTATGCTGGGTAAAAATTTGAAAGCTCTAACACAAAAATCCAGTTACAGGTGCTGAGACAAAAAGTGTTCCAACCACCCCATGTCTGCCCTATTTAAGTCCAACTGAAATCATATTTAATCATCCCTGTTTGTAGCCATGAATATTTTTTTATGTATAGTTAATTCAACATCTGAAAGATTATTTTTGTGTATGGATTTTTAGGCACACATATCTTGAACAATATGGTAGCAAAGTGATGGGTCTGGTCCATGCTGCAAGGCGCCGACCGCCCAGAAGAGGGCGCTGCTGAGACACATTGCCTACCTGGTTCTGATATAGCAGAAGAAGACGCCGGCTGCAGTACATCTCAAAGAAGAAGAAGACATCTGTAGTGTCATGTAATCGTGACATAACCAAGGTTATCCTGGAGATACTGAAGAGGAATATGAATATCACTTGACATAAACAAAGTTTCATCTTATCTCGGTAAGAAAAGCAGCTCAGCAGCTCGGTGTTTACCACTGTATTACGTGTCTGTGTCAAATAACAACCAACCGGCATTGCCTAGCTAAGCATCTTTAGCTAGCGAGCTAACCATCAGCATGACGAAAGAGGTCACGCCAAACTCCGGTTAAAATACTCACAATAATATCTAGCCTTTTTAGGAACAGTCTGCCTCTTGTTCCTGTTATATTCGACCTTCAGAAGATACCATGGTGTGTGACAGCGAGCATTGTCGGTTATGCTGAGGACCTGGGGCACGTTATGTGATGTAATGTCAGTTGGGTGGAATTTACCTGACGTGGTATGTTACAGTTACTAGATTATTCTGTGTCTTTAGAGTGTGGTGTCGTCCCAACCACAGGGGTGACGTTTTACATTTATCAGTTAAACACTAGAAGAAGAAGGTGAATGTATGAAGTGTCAGTGCTAACATATGTGATGCTAAGTAACAGCTGGTGCCAGATGTTTTATTTGCTTTTCTGTGGTGTCAGCTCAGGTCGCCATGAGCGTCCCCTGTATCTTTTCCTCCGCTGGCCGAAGCTTCAGCCTGCCGTGTCCCGCCGCGGGTCTCCTCTGCTGCCGGCTGCTGGGCCCCAGCTCCGCCATAAGGTTAGTGTCATCACTTTACTGTTAAAATCTGTGACCCATCAGATTCTGATCTGGAGCTGCTGGCCAAAATTGTGACCCTATAATATTAAGATATTAGATACAAATTGAGACTCCTCATCTGACAATATTTGGTCAACACTTTTTCATAAGAAATAATATTCTGGTGTCACAAAATTAGACAATTTCCAGCAGTCCAGCTTAATGAAATATGTGTGAAATTCAGGTAAAGTGTAACTTTTTTCCTACCTGGATCCTATCATCCCATGTTTTTGTGTCTAAGTGACAAATGGGAACAATATTTTTTATAATTAGTCAAGTATTGAGAGAAAGTGTAACCAGATAAGGCAATTGTTTGTCCATCACAAGTCGATATTTTTGCCACAGGCAGGCTCAGACTGTTATACGTTTTTCGAGTGTCTCTCTACCTTTTGCTTGATCCGGTCTGTTTGTTATTGCGTCAACGAATTGCCTGAGGAGAAATCTCGCTCTGAAATCTCTCTAGACGTATACTCCAGCTCAAATACTGTAGGTAAGGGCAGCCATTAAATTTAAAATAAAAGGGAAAGAGACATTTCAGACACTTATAACAATCTGAAATGATAAAAAATTTGTCAAGTTTTGGAGAGAGACTGAGTAAGTAGAGATGTAAAAAAGAAGTAACTACTGTAACATCTTCCCTGACTCCATGCATGCAGGAAAAAAAAAAACAAAGACAGACACTACTTGTCTAATGGCCATTGGAAAAAACAGTCTATCGGCAATTTTAAATGCATTTTTCTTTTCTTTTGCAGAAGCAAAGTTCCACAAAATCTCCTCTCAGTTCATAGAATGTGATGGGTCACCACATTCTGTGACCTATCATAATAAAGAATCTGACAAAGTATGGTAAAACATTTATGTAATGACAATACAACTTACAACCTATTTAGATCACAGAGTGGAAAGGGTCACAGATTTTGGCACAACACTGGCTCTGTTTATTGTAATGTGCTGTCCTGGCTACTCAGTTCTGGTGATCTGTGAAGACCAACAGCAAGGGAACCAAAATTTGACATTTCTCAGGGAAATATTTGTGTGTGTGCTTTAACATAAAGGGTCACTTACACTTAACACCATGTAGCCACAGATGGTTTTGCCAACATCTCAAACCTTAGCCACATAAAACCAAAACTATCTGCATGGACACAGATAGGTGTGGGTTGTAATATAGGTGAACTGGCCCTTTAAGTTTATTGATGCTTGCTTCAGGGCAAAGTCCACTTTACATGGCTGTTGTGTAGCTTTTCATTTGCAGCGTTAGGAAATATTTGACAAGGCAAATGACAGAAACGGCTTCTTTTTTTCCTAGAAGAAACATGTCCTCCAAAAGGCAAATGGACCATTTAGAGAGAACGGCGAACAACTACAGACAAAATGTAAGTTGATATTTTACAGTTGAATGCATTAAATCTTGACTCAGTCGACTGTTTCCATTACCTGTGCCACTTTTTGACAGTCATTGAACAGCCAATTCTAAGATTTTTAACCCACTCTGCTCTACTCTGTTCCTGTGTGTGTGTGTGTGTACACATTTATTGTGTACTTGCCTGGCTGTATCACAGGCTCTGTATCCAGCTCAAGTATGTGGCATCATAAACGAGTCACAGACTGTGAAACGTTTAAGATTAGCTGTCCATCCTGACTTCAGCTTCAAAGCAGGACAGTGGTGAGTAGATACTCGTGTTAACTTTTCATAATTCATTAAACATTTTTTATCAGGTTAAGGAACATTGTCATATTGTGTTGTGACACAAAAGAGGTGATGTTTTAGCTAAACTGCATTGTTGAGAGGCTCAGCTGTTGAATCAACAGGCTTTGGCTTTGACAGCTAATGCCACATGTTCTTAGGTCGTCTTTAAATTTTAGCTCAGGTCGTGATGATTAAAGAGACTCAGAGACGTGAGAAAGCTCCTATGGCTTAGATGCATTTTTACGTCCCTGTGCTGCTTGGTGATGCTAATCTTGGGTGCCCACCTTAAAAATGTGCTGATTGTGCAGATCTTCTGTGATGCCAGGGTAAAAAATTGTGTAAAGCATCCATGTTTTAAAATATGTAGCCTCTTTGCGGCAGCATCCATATTTGAAGCATTGCTTACTGTCATGGCTACACTTGAGTCTGGACAGACATGGATGTAAGCTGTAACTACAACTTGACTAGTTCGTGGAGGCATAACACCGTGATGGTCTGTGCTTGAGAATACTGTTTTAGGATCCATGGGTGGTTTTAAACGAGGAGCAGCCTGCCACCCTGTGCAATTTAGATGATTGATATGTCTCCTGACAGATGTGGTAGCAGTAGAGCTTCCGTTATTGGTCACGCCAGAAGGTACCTCTCATAGTGGGATACTTGATTCAGTTCTAGAAAGCCAGGGTTACCCTGGTAACCCAACATTTTTTTGGGGAGAACCCCCCAGTCCTTCCCATTGGCCTCCTTAATCTCAAAGCAGAAGTTACCATAGTAACACTTTAATCACGAAACAGAAACAAGCACATCCTGCCAAATATGTCCTGGTTACTGCCGGAGTGTGAAACATCCCTCTGGTGTCCGTTCACAGTGCCTGCAGTGTTCACAGTCACCACAAGGTGGTGGCATTGTGTGTGATTTGTCCAACAGTTGGGCTGGTGGTTTTCTTTTCTCACAAAACTTTTCCCGTTAACATTAGTCTACAATCCTACATCACAGTCAGCATGTAAGCTGACTCAAGAAATATATCACATTAGCAAAAGGAAAGGATCAAAACCTTTGAATTATTAGAGCTCTTTCTCAAATAAGGTTGAGCTCAAGTTTGCTCATAGCTTTGTGAGGGTAAGCTGCTGTTTGCACTGGATTGCATGAACACTTGTAACTCAATCTTGAAAGGTTCTTGAGACACAGTGGCTTCTTTTTGACTGGTGCGTCACATTCGGAAATTATTTAGTTTTCAAGCCAACTTCAGATGACTCTTATAATCCTGATAGCATGTTAAGTACTTATTCTAGGAAGACAGACTTTTCTTTTCTGCGTCTGTCGGTCAGTGTTGCCAATGTTAATTAGTACCCTGCACATGCAGTATATGCACACGAGCCCATACTGTAGGTGGGCGGTGGTGAGATATAAAACCGGCAGCCAGTTGCCCCGCAGCAACTGATAATGAATGTAAATAGATGGAAATCCTTGAGTTTCAGTGTTTCTGAGAAAAAGGACTGTGAAGTTGTTCGTCTCCAGGTGGGAGAGGAGGAGGAGGAGGAGAAGAAGGAGGTGGGCGGAACATATGTGTGCATCTTCACAGCCGATCCATATTTATGATGCCTCTGAGGGTTTTGGAGTCAGTGTCTCTCTCTAGTGTAACAGTGGGTCATTGTGTTGGTTTGAACATTAGCCCAACTGTGAAGCATTGCTGTTTTCCTCCGGGGGTGCTCTGCTGCGCTTGTTGATGGATAGGTGCGACCACGTTGGGTGTTGGACTGGGACGCTGTACTATGTATAAACTATCAGGCAACTTTCCATCTGGTTTGGTTTTGCTCTGCTTGGTTTCTGGAACAGGCTATTGTTTATATCGATATAGGGTCAAGTTAACGCATACCAGTGTGCATCTCTCCTCTCTCACACTCTGCACCCAACTCATTCACTCACAAGCTCTCCAGCAGCACTAAGAGAAACACAGAGCTGCTCCACTGTTTAATCTGTCTGTTAATTAGTCTACAGTGCGACATCGGTCTTTATATTGCACATGCGACGCTAAATCAGTATGTGAGATGAATGAAATTACTACAGTAGCACATCTGTAATCCAGTGCTGCATGTGTCAGAGACAGAGCTGCTTGATTGTGTCAAGTGAGCGTTTGTTTGCTGGTTTGTGTGTGAGGTGGATCACAGCACATCACTGTTCTTCGTGGTAGTTGTAGTCTAATGTGTGACACGGAGATAGCGCTTGGATGCAGGCAACAGATGTGTTTAAAAGTTGCAGCAACAACACAGACATTTCATTTACAAGATGTGTATAACGCTGACAAAGTATCTCTTGCTCCTTCCCTCCCTCGGCCCCTCTGTTGATGCTATGTGCATAGATTAGATTAATAGGCTAAACAGATAAAGATATTTTAATCATTTGAAGGTTATTAATGGATTTTAACAACAGAGTCAAGCTGTTTCGGTGTCCGTGTTGAACAGCGGTTCCAGAGACAGTCCTTTGGCTCTGTGCCTGTTGTGTAACGGCACCAACAGAACGTTTTCTTTACAATGGGGCGACAGATAAGCAAGGTGGTCAGCTAAGTGGGTGGTCCAGGACACGTTAGTTTACACACTGCTGAAATCATGTGGCCACATGCGGCCCAGGCCACTTTTGAATGTGGTCTAAACAATCCTATCTCAAGACACATTGAGGACGCATTTGGTGCATTCACAGCTGTACTTAAAGTTGTCCACTTGTCATCTGATCACCTAGAATGCATGTTAATACCAGGTGTAAACAGGGCCTAATACATTTAAGTCAATATAATGATGTTGAAACAACACATCCACGGTTAGATTTAGGATCGTCATGGTAAAGTTAAGTTAAACCATCGATACTTCAATACAAATTATCAATACAGTCTTATCAGTTGCCATCCCTGACACTTAAACAATAAATTACTTGACAAATTTATTAATTTATTCATTTGTTTTGTGGCATTCGTGTGTGTGTGCAGGGTGGATTTTTTCATCCCTGGCGTGGAGAAGGTGGGAGGTTTCTCCATGTGCTCCAGTCCAGGTTTGCTGCAGAGGGAAGGTGTCGTTGAACTGGCCGTCAAATACACCAAACACCCCCCAGCACACTGGGTCCACACCATGGTGAGTGCGGCAGAGAAGTGTGATCAAGCATGACATATTATGACATTTCTGAAAATTACAGTGAGTGGTAATTTTCCCAGGAAATGACTGAAAGTTACCTGGAAAGATTGCTGCCTGTGAGTTAGAATATTCTAGAAAAGTAAATGTTGGTCATCCCCACGGCTGTGAAATGGTTTGGAAGATTACATTGCGAGTGTATGCATGAGGGAGATGGTGAAAAGAAAAGAGATGCAGAAAGAGAACGAGTGGAGCGATCAGGGTGTTGAGAAATGGTTAGGGTGTTATAGAGTTAGAAAATGGAGACTGCTGCCACATCACGCCACGGGTTCTTCTAAAAAGTGAAGCTTGAAAAGGAAAATGGCAAGTCAGATATTTTCAGATTTATTTATTTATTTCCAGCCCTGCAGAAGCATTGGGCGCTTACCCGTACTATAAAGTTAAATTAAAAACCTGTGATACACTCCCAATTGAACGTTAAGTTCATTTAACCACTCGAGTCATAATCTGTTTTTCAATCATGTGTAATTGCTGTCAAGGGTTCATTAAAGTGAGTCGGCAAATTTGAAAATTGCCTGTGTGGTAGTTTGACGCAGAATTGTGATAGTGAGGCTGAAAACTCAAGAGAAGTTGTTGTGTAAGTGTGTGGAGCAGGCCAACGGGGTAAATAAAGGTTGTGTGAACTGTGAATACATAAATAAAGGTAGTAAAAATATAAAAAGATTTGTGAAGTTGGTTAAGTCTCTGCTCGCTTCATCATGTTTATTTATTCGATGATATAATGGAAAAAATGTGTCATTCTTGGTGCACAGCGTTGTATTTCTTGCTCCAAAAGTAGCTTTTTTCTAATCCAGTGTGTGCCAGCAGTCGTGCGAATATGAACAATGCTTCCTCCCTACTTACCTTCCCCTTCCATTTCTGTACTGCGTGTTTGTTTGCAGCGTCTGTGTTTGATGATGGGTCCTAATAAATAGCTTTGAGCTACAACGCTTTGTGTAAATAAGTATCAGAAAGCAGTGAGATGTGTTTGAGCATTCTGAGACTTACAGCTCTCTGCTCTGGGATCGTTTGATGATCCATTTGTTTGATATTGCGTTCCGACTCCACTCTGTGAGGCAGGAATAGTGTAGGGACCACAACAGCAGATTAAGAATGTGAGCGTTATTGTGTGTGTGTGTGTGTGTGTGTGTGTGTGTGTGTGTGTGTGTGCGCGCGCGCGTGTGTGCAAAAGCAGATGAAGGCGTATTTACTGCTCCTTTTGACTTCTCTGCACAACTTGTGAAATCACTTTCACCCATAGCATAGCTGAGGTTTGCTGTGTGTATGCATGCTGATCTAAAAGTGTCTGCTTCCCAAGGCTCATCTTCGATGTAGTTAAAGTGATGCTGTATTTTTCATGGTATTTATTTCAAAAGGTGTTTCAGCAGCCGAGCGAATAGAAATGTTGGTAACCCAAGTGTCTGAGTTACCCAGCTCAACGCAGTCTGTTGCTAATTCCTTATTATCTCCCTCCCCTCAGTGTACAGTTGGCTCCCAGGTGGCCATGCGTGTCGGCGGGGACTTCTTCTTTGACCCATTGCCTTCTGACCCTTCCGTGGATTTGCTGCTGGTAGCTGGTGGCGTCGGGATCAACCCCCTGTTCTCGATCCTGTTGCACACGACAGATCTGCTGCAGCTCAACCACACCTCTGGTGGGCGGGACTACAACATAGGCTCTGCCCACCTCTGCTACAGCGCCAAGAACACTCAGGAACTGCTCTTCAAGGTGTGTTCTTGTATTGTTTTTGACTTTTGGAATATATTTATGAGGAATTTTTTGAAACTTTGCTGATTTTTAACCTTGAACAGCTCTGCTGGCTGCACACTCAGCCATGTCCATGTGTATGTCTGGGAAGTATGGGCAGGCGTGACGCAGTGTGTAACGAGAAACTCTGCCTACCTTCTGTGTTCCCTAGAGCTCCATCATCGAGACGTGTCGGGAGTTCCCTGACAAGTTTTCCTGTGACCTCCACGTCACGCAACAGAGCACAGACGTCGACTCACACCTCCAGCCATTTATCAACCGTAAGTAATGTCCATACACACACACATATATACACACACACACACACACACACACACACACACACACCTACACGCATATTCTTTTCTTTGTTTAGCAGGGATGATGTAGCGGCTGTCACATTCTACCAGAGTCTGTCTTTGTTGATTTATCTCTGTCGTCATATAGAACAGGTTCTGTCAAAGCCCCACATGGGAGACAAGAAAGGAATAGGTGCCACACCACTGAGTCTTGGTTAATTGATTGACTCCCCTTGTGTCTTCCCAGGTGGGAGAATCACAGAAGAGGAATTGCGGGCTCATGTGGATCCGCAGAGGACTTTGTGTTTCCTGTGTGGGCCCCCACCCATGATCGAAGCTTTTTCAAAAACCCTTGTGGACTTAGGCCTCCCGAAAGACAGGATCCTTTTCGAGAAGTGGTGGTAGAACCTCTTACCAGTTCCCAGAAACAGCATTGTCCTCCTGGATTGTGCTCCTCTTTGGCTCTTTAAGGGGGGGGGGGGTGAGAATGGAAAGCAACTAAAATATTCCAGTGATAAGGATATTAATATGAATGCTTGAGGACATCCACCTCCGATCCCTGCTAGTGCAACCTGTGCCTGATCTGCGAAAGGCCGCTGGGACCACAAGCAACTGACTCACAAAGACAGCAGAGATGATTTTATTTCTTATAATCTTAAAAAAGAGGACTGAGCAGACTGTAAAATCTCAACTTTACCCAGACATTTTTCAGCTCACTGCCTTTAATGAATATTGCAACAAATCTGCAACTCTGTCTGATACACACATCATAACGCAGCTGTCACATCTTCACATCTGATCTCATTTACATTCGCTTTTATTTGCTTGACGGAGGTTGTGCTTGAACAAATTAGCAGGTGATGTGCAGCCAATTTTTCACCTAAATATGAAGGTGCTATGACGGTTGCCTATGCAAGCATGTCTTGAAGCAGTAATTTGACATTTCGGAAACGCTTCCTTGCCACGAGGTCACCTATTCGCTAAATATGAAGCTACAGCCAGCAGCTAGATAGCTCAGCCTGGAAACAGCGCAGAGCTTGGCTTTGTAAAGACGACAAAATCCACGCGGTGTCGCATTTGTTTCATCCTGACAAAATAAACTTTCATTTTAACATATAAACAATTAGATTTTCCCTCACCAATCACTAGAGACCAATGTATCTGCCTGAATATAACGCCATTTTAAGTCCACACTGATGTGTAGCTATGCCAACATTCTGGTTTTGCTGGGTTTTTAAGACTAGAGCAGAGCAAAGTAAAAACAAAATGTGAAGTTGGGCAACACTGAAAAGACAAGCTGATTTTGAACAGGCTCAGTAGCAGTGTCCGTCTTTTTTATAGTGCTTGCCATTGCTGTTATTACTCCTCATTGGTTCTGGTGCACACATCTTGACAACAGCATTAGTCCTGCCCATGGCGCTGATTGGCTAGCACTCATAGGTTTGTTTTTTATTTGAATCAAGAAAACGCTTTCATGTCACAATGCCAGACAAATCAGTCAACTCAAATTCGATTGAGTGGGTGGATTCAAAAGGTGTGGACCCAGGCAAAACAGGCAGCTAGCTTTTTGCCCCTTTTTCAAGTCTTTATGCTATGCTAAGCTAACTAGCTGCTGGCTTTAGCTTAAAGGTATGCTATGAAGTACGGTCTGTTGCTGTCGGTAAACACCCTCGCCCGTGAATTGGAAAGTACAAGGCCAACCCCAGATTCGCTCTCGTTCGCCATTTTGCTTGCTATGTTTGCGTTTTTTTCTATGCCTGCTGCATACAGTCTGCCATCTGCTCCGACCTCACCTGACACGCCCATAAATGTCTCCATCACAGACAAAGAGAAAATACCGGCAGAGGGCGGAGTCTCTGCAGATGAATACACAGCCACACACTTCTGGTGGGTCATAAAGGATGTTTGAGGTATGACTTCATTATGAGTCTATTTTTTTTTTTCCCAGAAGTTTCTGCATAATATGTCTTTAATATTCAGTGGAAGGAAGTGGTGTTGATCATCTTATGGAACGCTCAGCAAGAAAGTGACACAATTCCCTGAAGGTCTATTGCTTTCAAGTCCCAAGGATATGGCAATCTGTACTGTTATTTTACACTGTACAAACTTGTGTTAAATACCTCTGCTAATTTTACTATGTGATCTAAGAAGTGTTATACCATGTGTATATATACCTCAGGTAGTTATTTGCAGAACTGCAGATTTTAGAGTTGTTTGACTGAGATACATTGGAGTGATTGTTTTTCCACATTTTACTCACATCGAAACTTCACACCGAGTGTATTTATAGATGGAAAAAAGCTAACACTCTCCCACATACTGGCCAGTGTCCCTGCCTGTTATACTCAATCACACAGTTACATGCCTACACAGTGCCGATCTCACATACACTTTTACTCAGTCACACACATTCACATGCCCATAAACGATTCCCATCCCGGGGTGGAGCGAGTATCCCACGGTGCACTGTAATGGAACCTCCGGGTGGTCTCTGATTGGCTTGGATCACTGAACATCCCTCGGAGATGGTTGGGAGCTTCTTGTCGTCGACTCCCAGTGGGGGTTACGCTGTTGAGACTCATTTTCGAGTTGTTCTTGCGTGTGTTTTTTTTCCTCATATGAGGAAATGAGTTTATGCTGGTAAAATGAGGAAATAAAGCAAATGGAGTCGATCTGTTTTTAGACACTTTATTGACTTCTGCTTTTATATAAAGACTCACATGTCACACTACTTAGACAAGACACAGATGGTCCGGGAAATAATAAATAGTAGATTTATAATTTACACATTTTTTCAAAAGAAGAAACCTTTTGAAGGTCAGTTCTCCCAAATTACAAAAAGCATTTCACCTTGCCTTTCGTATCTAATCAAGCAGACATTTGAATTTGAGATATCCATCTGACATTTTTGCAATCACCTCATTACAATGGAGGCAACTTGTGATCGTCCCAGCAATGAAAATATGCATTTAAAAAAATTAAATCGCAACATCCCTGTTTCTCAACCAAGGAACTGATTTCTACTGAAGAAATGGTTCCCAAGAAACTGTCGTGCTTTATTTTATGTACGTAATAAGCACCACAAACAATCAATCATTTATTTGTCCTGCGGAAACTTAAAACGTACGACATGCATTCAGTTGTGTGTGAGTGTGTGTATCTATCTGTCCACAGCATATCTGTCAAACTATTGGACCAATCAGCCTAATATCTTGTGTGCACATTTATGACTGTATGGTCGACGACCTCTCGTGGTTGCTGTGATTTACAACTGTTAAAAAAATCTGTTTAATACTGTCTTTGACTGCTGACGCGCTCTTCATTTGCACAGCTCGAAACTGATATCCATACAAAAGTTTGGGCTCATTTTGAACTGGAGCATCTGCAGATTAATTTCACTAATTGTTATTTTTACAATACATTTCCACTGGGGGCAGCTGCTCCAAGGTTTTATTTCGAACTCTGCACTGTGCCACACCACATCAGGAGCATTTCGGATGCAGAGCGTTTTGTCTGCCTGGTTTTTGATTTTGTTGATTTGGTCATTTTCCCTTGACATTTGTGCTTCTACCTTAAATACGTAGGCTATGTAGTTAAATTTGTATTTATTTTTTGTCTATTTTAATTGTGCATATTGTCATTATTTACTACTTTGTTGTGCTATCGCCTACAGACAAAATTAATACTGTTCAAAGTCCAGTAACAAATGACATGGATCAAAGGTGTCTGGCTGTGTTTAAGTTATTTAAAAAGTATCTATATTTCTCATGCAGAGCCTGTTAGCAGGAAAACTCCATCTGCTCTGTGCAACACGCTGCAGCTCCATCAAAAATAGAAACGCACAGCAGCTTGTCTGCTGAAATTTAAATAACCGTCGAGAATTTCAAGAATTAATACAAGAATTGGCTGCAAACAGCTCGAGCAGCGTCCTTTTCTAACTGTCCTTTTCCCTTATATCTCAGTGCATTGTACTGAGGTGAAGAAATCAGAGAGATGGATATCTCAAAACCAGGCTAAAAAGAAAACCAAAACTATCTAAATTCAACCAGTGGCAGAATAGTTTTTTTGTTTGTAATTTACATGAACTGACCCTTTAATATTTGGCCCCACTAAAATGAACTATCTAATATCTCAGTGCGATGTAGAGCCTGGCCGATACCAGCGGAGAATTTCGGATCAGATATTCATTTTTCTACCAAACATTTTTGCTAAGAATCTTTTAAATTTACTGGACTGGATGTAATATTTTAGAATTTTAAAAAATCCCTTGTGAAGAAACTACAGTATGTAACAAGAATATTTATCTCTAAAAGTCTTTGGCTTTTCTGTAACGCAATTTTTTAGTTAATCATTCAAGCCAAAACCATAAATAATGTGTGTGATAAGCTAAAAGTGGCTGATGCAGATGTATCGGTCAGGCTCTAATGCAGCTCACTACTTACTGTGTCACTTGTTCTCCCTATTGTTTCTATCTTAAATTATATACTTTACATATAAAAATACAGGTAGCCCAGAGAAATCAGTACTCCCTTTTAAACAATTACAAGAAAGTAGTAAAATACAACAATGAAAATAACACTCACTGTAAGGCTCGGACTGGAGGCTTGCTCTAGGTTGTACTCTATTAGCCTTGTACAGTTTCATTTCATATAAGGATACATCAAATAGTAACACTGACCCAAAGCAGAGAACTGCACAACACTTTCCCATATATGGGAGCTACAACCTCAAAGACTGGCGACAGTGTTAATGCTCTCGGCACTGACTGAAGCGAAGGTTTCAGTCCATGATGACAACAGTATGACTGACTACACCTGGGTTGCCAGAGGAATTAAAACTCCAGATCAACAAAACGTAATTCAAAAGGCCTCAGCTCCCCCTCGCCTGCTTTGTGCCCAATGTGTCAACAGACGCCGGAAAACAGCTGCTGTTTGATCCGCTCCTCTGTCTTCATCTTCTCCTTGACCCCTCCGTCATCTCTCTGACACACATCTGTCCATCGCACCGACTCCTCCTGCTCGGACAGAGGGATCTTGTCAACGTCGGTTTCCTCTTCCTGTTCCTCCACAGATGCACTGCTCCCTGATAAGAAGAAGAAGCCCCTTTGATGCCGTGCATCCTCTTCCCTCTCCTCTTCACCTTCGCTCCTTCCGCTGTCCCTGCTCTTCCTCCCCTCTGCCTCCTCTTCCTCCTCTTTTGTGTCTTCTCTCAACCTGTCCATCTCCGTCTCCATCAGAGGGGACCTGTTCTCCCGCTCCTCTTCTGTCTCCTCAGTAGATTTTTTCTTCGCCTTGCTGCGACCCCTGAGGTTCAGCATCTGAAACCAAACAGATGTGTTTGAGACAGTTTTGCGCTTTGTGCCGTGTCTTTTTCTTTCCATCTCTCCAGACACCTGCCAAACCGCAACAAAGCCTCTTTCATTGATGCCTCTTTCCTGTACAGTTTGAGGTCGACTCTTTGCCTATTATTAGACTTCTCCGGAGCGGTTTTGTATTTGCTGTACATCCCATATTTAGCAACACAACTTTTTAATGGCACCCTCTGTGACATAAAGCCACGTATCCTAAAGGCACAACAGACACAAGTGACAGATTTGCTGCGAAGATGGAAGACATAGGGGAACAAACCTTGAAGTCTTTTCTCTTGCGCTGCAAAACGGGTCTCTGAAGGAAGAGGATCTGCTTGGTCGACAAACTCCCATCACTGCGGAAAGAAAAGAGCAGCACTTTTCACTGCTGTTACCTGTTATGTTATAATCTGAGGATCTCGCCGCATGTATTGAAATCCAGATTCTGTGGTTCGCAAAGTGACAGGTTACAAGACAACAGCACATCAGCAACTGTGTTTTTTGTTCGCAGCTCCGGCTGACTTCAAAAGTGGTTTCATGTTGAGATGAGCATAGGTATGATTGTGATTCATCAGATCTCGAAACCATCTGTCCTGTCAGTCCTGATCCCAAAAAGAACGTGACAGGCAGTGTCTTAGACGAAAGACAAACGACTCTTTAATCAACAAAGCAGTAATTAGTCCTTAGGCTGTGTTATTTTAAGTGTTAGAATATATGGGTAGAAAGAAATCGTTTCAACATCACATTTTTTGATCAGTTTATTATTGCCTGAATCCATATAAATTTATCCACAGCAAACTCCCTGCCTGATCAGCAAACTTTCTGTTGCTGCCATTACAGATTAGACTCATCCTGCTGTGAACCCTGGCGCTAGGGCGCTGCTGCAGCTGCTACTGAATGTACTGTCCCTTTCTGCCACCAGTTCGTCTCTGCATACAAAAATACATCATAATCACATTGGGAGAGAAGCATATCCTCCGAGCCCTAATGAAATAGAAAGTAAACGTAGAGGACAGGTGAGTTTATGGTTGTATTAGTGGTATCTTGGGGTGTAGTTCTGTACCTGTTGGTCTTGACAATTGGTGTGGGTAACACACACATCAGCCTCCATCCATACGGAGCCAGAGACTGGAGCAAGGGGATGTAGTCCGTCTTCACCACAACACCCTGAGCAGGAGAGCGAGACGGAGAATCACTCAGATAAATACAGTGCAAACCCACACAGGGAACAAAAACATTACAGCACCCATGCAGGTAAGCAAATTTAAGCTCAGCCACAGGCACACGCGCTTCTTTCCTTCATCTCCACTCTTATGTAATGTTTGACAGAAAACAGCTTAAGCCTTCAGTCACAAAGGATTTTTCAAAGTGCACAGCTTCACCAGGGTATTAAAAACTCAAAAGACCCACATCAACAACGGTCCACTGCTCAACCACGATAGCATCGTAGGAGGTGCTCGTGGTCTCTTCTGATGAGCTCTGGAAGATGAACACACTATCCACAGATGAAACCCCATTGTCTGGAGAAACAGGACAAATTAGAGACAGGGTCAGATAAACGGAGGAGGATGTATGTGAGTTACAAGCTCATCTCCACTCTCCAATCTCTCACTATTGATCCCCTCTGCTCCCTTTGGCTTAAGCCTACTTATTCCATGGGTGACTGAACAGTGATTTATGGTATAAGCCGTGGACTCATGGCACGTCACTCCATGCATATCATCCATTACCCAGCAGCAGAGCAGAGATCTACAGCCTGAGCTGCTTTTCCTCTTGTCAGGAACTAGTGGAACCAGTGAACAGTGAGGAGGTATGGTGATACAGTAACTTTAAAGCAGCAATAATCAATATCTCTGCTGTCCCCCGTGGAGCATTTTAGCTTCTTTCAGCTTATTGTTTTGTTTTTTTACTGTTTTGGTTCAGTCTTACTGTTCTTATCAACCTGTGTCCAGCTGTCGATCAACGACCAAGATTCCATCGGGAGCTATTCTACAAGGACGCAACCATTAATTTTGCTGTGCAACTTGGCACTCATGATCAGACTGAAGTTGCACACTTCATGGTACACTTGGCACTTTATTTGTGATTTTTCATGCTCCAAACTGTTTCAATGTATGACTGAGAGGTGGAAGTTACAGTGGCCGACGAAGGCAAACACATGACAACAGCCCAAATCATTTCCATTTACAGAAACGTGCTGCAGCTTCAGAACAATCCAATTAAAAAACACATGGAACAAAACAAACACAACAACAGAAATGTGCTACATGGTGCAGAAAGCCAAAACAAATTTCAGAGGTTTGTGTGTTTTTGGTGTTGCATTGT